TGAGCAATCAGAAGTTATCTCTGAAATCGTGAGCAAAGACGAGATTACTGAGGTTGCAAGCGAGAAAGAAATAGTCTCCGAACAAGTAGCTGATGATGAATCTATTGACTTAACAAAGACTGCAGATGTTGAGGTAGCTGAGGAGACCAAAGACAAGCTGCCTGAACTTACTGCCACAATTGAATCTGAAATACAAACAGAGGAAATAATCGTTGAACCAGTGGCAGAAACAACACCAGTAATTGAAATCCCTCCTTCTGAGCAAAAAGAAATTGTCACTGATGTCGCGAGAATTGTTGAATCAGTTGTGCAAGATGAAGCCTTTGAAGATGTGGCTGAAAATCCATCTCTTGAGCCAACAGATATCAAAGAACCTGAGGCAACCAAAGCCTTGGAGGAAGAAATTGCTTCATCAATTGAAGCTGAAAAACCTGTGACTGAAGATATTCTAGAAAAAGTGGAAGTTACGTCTCCTGTGAAGGATCTGGAGGCTGCCGTTGTATCTCTGCCATCAGATGCCAATGGTCAGCTAGAGGTGATGGAGAGTGAAACCAATTACGTTACCACCATTAGTGAAATCACCAAGCCGAAATCAGAAATTTTAGCTGCTGAGCTACAAGAAGCATCTGCTGATTTCGATATGAAAGATGTGATTTCTGAAGTTGGTGCGCAAGAAATATCTGCTGCACAAGCTGTTAAAGTTGAATCCGCGAGCGTACCCACAACCACACAGATGCCCCACGAGATGCTGCCCCATATTTCATCTGCGATAGAGACTGAAGATTTGACAGAGCAGCTTATCGAGAAAGAAGCATTCACTCAACCAGCGATTGATGTTGATACCTCTGAATTTATTACTGATGTTGTGAGTAAAGATGAACTCTCTGTGGTAACTGGCGTGCTAGAGGTTGCATCTGAGCAAGTGGTTGATTATACACTTGATGACATATTAAGGGAACCTTACACATCTTCAGCTATAAATCAAGGTGCCTCTTTGAAATCATCAGCAATTGAACTGGAATTAGTGCGCGAAAAAGATAATATTGGTGAATTTGATATGCGAAAGGATAAATCTTTTGAGAAGCACATATATTCAGCAAAGCATGTTTCTGTTCAGGATACAGTAAATGAAGAACAGATGGAAGCAGTTTCCACGGAAATATACAATTTTGGTGATAAGGAAGCAACATCTTCTGATAAAGAATTACAAATAGGTTTTCAGGAAAGTGGGAGATTGCTGCATGTACGTTCTCGTGCAGATCGCCCGACATCTCTTAATTCAGGTATTCCATCAGATACACCGAGAACTTCTGACTACCACTCTGACATTCAAAGACCTTTTTCAACAGAAAATATTGAAGAAATCCTTGACGAAACGATGACATCATACTTTGCTCAAGATATTACAAATCAAACTTACGGTAAGGCCTGTGATTCAAGCGTTGAAATTGAACATGGTATAACAATGGATGATGATATGTTAGAAGTAACTATGACAGAAAAATCTAGAAACTCTAATATTGATGGAGTTTTGTTTACAGTGGAGAGTGGGGAAACATTTGCAAAGTTATCATCTGCTAAGCGGGAACTATTTTGTAAGTGTGAAAATGTTACGCACGAAGAGGCTATTTCTTCAAAGCCAAAGATTCAATCAAAGATTCCAGTGAAAAAGGGCTCCGGAACAATTAAGAAAGAACAGTTTGCACCGTCTGGGGCTACAAGAAAAGCGGATATTAAAAAGACGGAAGGACCATTTGTATTAAAGATGCGTGATCAAAAGAATTTATCGGCAAATCGCGAATCAAAAATAGTTCCAAGCTCAGTAGATCTAAAAATAAAAGGACGACCTCGCCAATCAAATCTGTATGATAGCAATCGATCCGAATGGCTCCTGAAAAGAGATGATAGAGCAACTAAAGAGAGGTCCCTTTTCTTTTCACATTCTTCATCCACTCCTACGTCAATTTCAAAATCGAAAACTTCCACTGAGCGTGTTGTATCCGTAGCATCTGAAATATTCCAGGAGCGTAAAACTGGAAACTCGAAAAATAGGGAGGGTAAAAAGCACACCGAACAGAGTCAGTCGAAAATTATAACAACTGAAGTTTTTACTCGAACAGTTAACACGGCGACAAATGGGGTTGAAATAGTGTTCAAAGAGCCAAGTAAACCGAGTTCAACATATAGGCCGGTAGAAAAGGTATCAAAAAATAGAAAGGAACAATACAATACCGCACAAATTACTGAGAAACCGAAACTTCCCCCAGGCGCTCATGTTTCACATTTCCCACCTCCTGGGTCTCCAGTGAAGTCTAAAAAGGATAATGAAATAGAGTCCCCTAAAAGCAAGGAAGAGCAAATTTCCCCCTTATTAGACATTCAAACTGTAACTCCAACCAGAGTGAAACACAAATTTGAATACAAGCAACAAAATGATGAAGGTAAATTAGAGCATTCTTTCCAGTCTGAATGCTATGGCATGTTAGATGATTTTAATGTTTTTGTTTCCGATATCGTGTATCTCTTTACCACAGACACTTCTTCACTAGAGCACAAAGTTAGTTTTACGTTGTCTAGAGCATTAGAAATGCAAAATTTGTCAGATGCATGCAAACATGAATCTAAAAAGGAATTAAATCGGGTGCAACAGGAATCGACTAAGAAAATGGAAAAGTCTTATTCAAGTTTGATGCCGCAGGTGATGGATCCGGAGCGTGAAAGAAGAGAATCTGTTGTGCCAGAAATATCCGTCACCAAGGCTGGGCGGCAAAACGATGGGGAATGTCGAATTAACAAAGAAGATTTGTCCGACGTTGAGTACATTGACTTTAACGATTCTGAAAGGGGAGCCTTGGGTAATGCTGTCATTGTTGACAACGCAATTTCATCAGACGAAGATGGTGCTCCTATTAAGTCTCGCAGGCCTAAACGCAAGAGTGTGAGAAAAAGCAAAAATAAACTTCACGTTGCCGAAAAAGCAGGTGACTGCCTTACAGACACAGAAGATATGGACGGGGGCCAATATCTTAATGAGATCCCTGACGTCAACTTTAGTGACCTGAAACATTTCGAATCCGGAGATTTGGAATCCTATAAAGAATCCCACTCGGATGGCGTTGTGACCCGTTCGTTTCCAGACCCTTCGAGAAAAATGTCACTAGCTCTTCACCTAGAGGATCTTGATGGAGCTACTGACGTAGAAGATTTCATGGGTTCGACGGATGATTTGCGAGTGGTTCAGGATAGTCGTACACTGGTAAGCCCAGAACCACCTACCTATGATTTTGGCATCGTAGAAGACACCGAAAGGCTTAAGAACGAGAAGAGAATGAAGGTACCAGAGATTACCAAGAGTGGATTGACTGATACTGAGGATCTCTTTATGGATGAAAAATTCCCTCTTAAGAAGAAAAGAAGCAGGAGCCGCCATAGAAATCCTGCAAGTAGCAAGAACCTTTTGTTGCCAGGCACCGGAGGTGGTGATTCTGAGTCTGATGTAACTAGCGATTGTATGTCTGACACATCAGTAGCAACTGCTACGTCCATGCAGATGCTTGATGAGCTACGACTTCCTGACAACCTTGACGAAGGTAAAACAGACAATGAAGATTTTGATTTGACTTCAGGATCAGAAAGTGAACTTAATAACACCAATATTGATGATAGCTACGTGCTACAAAATTATGAATCTGGTCACATTTTAGCTGTGCAAGAAGGGAATGATGCAAAAAGGCGGTCAATAAATTTGGATGACATCAAATCTCGAGCCACATTGGCCACTCCTGAATCACGCTTGGATATAGGAACAACAGACATTGAAGACATGGAGGGCTCTAATGACGAAGCCCCGTCACCTCCAAGACCTGCGTCTCCGGCTATTGAATGTCACTCTTCCGTCGTTGAAATGAAAAGTGCAGCCATTCTGAATTACAACGCTCCTGATGAAATCCACTATTTGAAGGCTACACAAAACCAATCCGACACCCTAACAGATGTCGAGGATATGGACGTATCAAGGAGGAATTCATTCGTCAGAGAAGTGGAGGAGAAGTTATCAATAAATGACACAAAGCAAGAGGTCTGCGTTTGCTTTTCTGGCAAAAAGAAAGGAAATTCGGTCTGCGTCTGTGTAAACAAGAATGGTGGATCTCTCAGCTTGAAACATGGAGGATCGGGGTCAGGTACGAACGAAATGAGACTTTTTGACTGTCGAAGTAGACCAGCTAGTTCCATTAACTGTAGTGAATTAAGCTTTAAAAAGACGGAACAAGGTTTCCAAACCACAATGTACGTTGAAAAGCTAAAAAATCCTCTGTTGGTTCAGCCAACAGAAATGATGTATGTCAACCTTCCCGCTACCTACGAATTTTTGTGTCAGTCTATTTATGCTGAAGGAAATGTGGATCAGATGCTTTTACTATGTTGCATTCAAAATATTGCCTATAGAGTGTCAAGAGGAAAAGTAGATATCATTAAATTACCCGTGAGTATTAGAGGGCGAAAGGGAAACGTGTCAGACTTGATTTCAAAGTTCGAAAAAATATCACACAGACTTCCTAAGAATATACAACGTTCAACGTTGTCTAGAGAAAATATGTCTTTGTTTGCAAACTCTCTTGTAAAACCAATTATTAAGATCACTTGTTTAAATGACATAAGTAAAAGCCCGAATAGACTAGCACCATCAAGCATTCAAGAAACAGAAGCATTTAAGTTGCTGAATCTGAAAATCCTTGAATCTCGCAAGAAAGAAGAGATGAACAGAATAAAAAAGGGGAAAAATAGCGATAAAGAATTGCTACACAGCAGTAAAAATAAAGGTAAAACACTTTGAATATTTGGTATCACAGGATAATATGGGAACCGGATGAATTGGTGTGGTGACAGGTAGTACTTAAACTAGTCAGAATTGCTTCCCGCATGTAAATTACCAGCTATAAAATGCAATGAAAATGATCTCAATAAAAATAATCTTATGAGTATGTTTCTTATGATTGCAGATGCTGGAGTTGAAGGAAACAGTTCCGTACAAGGTAAGGAAATGATGCAATGCATGAATATTGAAACCTAACTTAGTACGCTATGCTTTAAATGATGCATAACTATCTATTCAAAGCTCACTAAAATAACATATATTTGAAAATTCCCATGAGAAGGAAAAAAATCGTAATATTAAATGTTACTTCATATGTGGAATGGTCATGTTAACAAGTGTGAAACTTCTCTTTATAGAACATAAAAGCATACCCGGAGAAAAGAAGTCAAAGAGCGGCATAGTAAACCCTACCCAAATTTCCTACCAAGGGCAGAGAATCGAGCTGCCAAAGTCAGTAAAGGCACATGATTCAGTTAAAACGAAGAGTACAGAAGAAGAAATTCCCAGTTACGTAGACAGAAAACAATTTTGGGAAAATGTTACTGGCACGACGAAGTCACTAATTGGTCCAAAACAATATCAAAAGGGAAAGCTTATTAGTGAGGAAGAGAGCAAAAAGGAAATGGAGATAAGGAAAGAAGCTGAAGAAAGCTGTGTAAAAACAAGACAAAAGACCCAAAGAATTGAAAAGGACATTATGAAAGAATTTTCTGATGATTTTCTTCGCCAGCAAGAAGAGAGTTCACCCGAGCACAAAATTCTAGGAACAAAGCAGAAGTTTAATGGAAAACTAACAGAAGAGTCAATTGTATCAAGACAAATTCACACTGAAATTTTTACTACAGAAATTTCAGAAAACATTGAAAGCCTTATACCAGAGGACAAACCAATTTCCCCTTTACAAGCCATTGAGGACGTCAACGAACCGATGCCAGATCCAGCATTTGCTACTGTCAAAGAAAAAATTGGAGAATTCGAAAAGAAGCTCTCTCCAGACTCGAAGCCACTTTTCCCTGCAGAACAAGAATACCAGCCACCAATAAAGCAGTCTAGTGAACATCAAGCCAAAATTTGTGCGGAAAGCCTTATTTCAGATATAGAGGATACAATCAAGAAAAGCCCTATCGTCAACATCAGCACTGACGAAATATTTAGGAGCTTTCAAACTAATCAAGAAATTGAAGATAAACAGATAACATCTGCTTCAAAAAACATCGTGACTGAGGCAGATGGCAACCTAGATAAAAAATTGGAAACTTTTAAAAAATCAGAGAAAATTGACCACGTTCATGAAATTCAACACACTGACTCCAGTTCAAAGGTCAAATCTGCTACACACAAGCTTGAAACAGATATTTTGAGTAAAGCATCCACAGGCATGGCGATATATCAAGAAGCTGTGGTTCAATCTACAAAAAAAAGTGACGAAATTGAAACGCAGGTCTTGGAGCAATCAAAAACTAGTGAGAAATCACAAATACATTTTAATATCGATGGAGAGCATACGTTGATGAAGGATGATGCAACAATAAGTGAAGTTGCCACCAAAGCAACAGCCAGCATTCCTGCTCAGTTTACAACAGAAATCAGTACAAGCACATCCCCAGACGAAAGTGTAGCAATTAAAAGAAGAGATAACGAATTGAACAAGATTGATAACGATAAAGCAGAGCATGTCAGAGCAGAAAAACAAGATGCAATCCATGAGCATGTAAAAGATATAAGCGAGAGAGTAAAAAGTGGAAGCTCATTGACTAAATTGGAGTTTTCATCTGAATCAGAATGTATGATGAGAATAACGGAAAAAGCTACTCAAAGCAGTAAAGATAAAAAAGAAGACATGAAAATGTCAGTTGCCAAAACTGAGTCTGGTAAAAGGGATGAATTATCCACTCTCTCTGAAACACTGACGCTGGCTATGGATTCAGATGTGTCATTAAATAGATTAAATCAATTGAGCAAAGAAGAGGTCAAAGAAATAAAAAAATCCGAAATGGTTTCGTATGAAACAACTATAGAAACTTCTGGAACTTCAAAATTGATGTCGGAGGAAGATACATCACAAAAACTAGTGCAGCAAAGAAATGAAATGGCAGTATTTGGAAAAGAAATTTTTGAATCTGAAACGGTATCGTTCAAAAGTGAAATACTGACGAAAGTTTCTGAAAAATCCAATTTTGACCAAACGGATCAAACATCTCAAATTAGCAATACACAAGAGGATAAGGAGCTAGTGAGGGAAGTGATTTCCAAAGACGTTCAGCATGCATATAAAGAGGAAAAGTCCGTCAGAGCCGAGGAGGCCAACAAAGGCCAAATTATCATCGATAAAGTAACCAAAGATTCAGTAATGGAAAGGGATACAGACATGGAAGTATTAGAACGTATTGTTCAATCACCCTTGCAATCTGAAATACCGCTGACCGTTACAAGTGCTTTTAAAATAACTGAAAAATCGTCTTCGCACGAGGTTACGATTCCAAAAGCAAAAACTGCTGAGATTGAGGTAGAAAAGGCCATTGCAGAGGTTAGAGAATCACTCGGTGCTGCTCAAGAGAGTCTGATTGAAAGTCAGTTTAAATCATCTACCGAGGAAAAGAAAAGGTCGCCATCAGAGTTTGAATTCAAAGTGTGCCAATTCGAGAAAAATGAAATCGCAGAAAGTAAATCATCTGATGATGAAAAAAACATCTTTAGTGGACAGGAGGAAACGAGCTCCACTCAAGAGAATAAGAAACCCGACCGTTCTTCAAGCTCTGGAGAAAGCTTCAAACACGATGAAAATTTCAAAAGTAGGCCTTGCTCATCTGATGTTGAAGGCCTAATTGTGGGTGCCGCTACTTCTTCCGAATATGAATCTGCCCTCACATCACAGGATACCTCACAGAGATCTGCTACGTCTCAGGAATACATAACCGCTGTCAGTTCGATCAGCAGTAATAAATCATATAGTTCTGAAAGTTCTGGGCAGCAAATTGAAGTTCACAGTGATGCATCAGAAACTCTAGTTCCATCTGCCATGGAGTTGGAAACTGATTTGGAAGACAATTTGCCTAATGAAGATTTAGATCTTGGGCACGACAATGATTTACAGCGCCCTCTTGGGTCTGCATACCAAGTTCTTCATGAAACAAAATCATCAGAGTCTGATGACTCGTACATTGAAGATTTTAAAGATTCACCCGTTAAAGAAAAAAGAGCGTCCGACCAGTCAAGAATGAAACGATCACTAGAAATGACATTCCACCCCGAGCCAAAAACGATTCTCACGGATAGTCCGGTATCTGAGATTACAACAACTGAAGAAAAAGAACGTCTTTTCTCAAGCATAGATGATACTGTTAGCATAATAAGTACGAGTGTTTCCAGCGCCTCTGAATTAGATCAGAGGACAGTGATGGAAAATCTTGCATCACAAACCATTTCGCAGCAATTTACTGACATGGCCAGCAGCATTGAGAGACTAGATGATTTATCATCCCTGAATTCTTCTTACGGAATATCTCCGCCGAGGCAGGAAAACACATTTGAAAACAAACAGCCACCACAAGAGTGCGAAAAGTATACTGAAACTACAGCTGTGTCTTCGAGTGAGAAAGATGTTTCTTGCTCTGTAACAATAATGTCAAGTTCGTCAGTTGAGAAATGTGTGGCAACTCAAATAACTTCAATTCAAGATCATACAGGATCAAAAATCAATGACCAACCAGAGTTCTTAAAGGAGGAGGAGATTTTAGATCAAAAAATAAATTTCCAAAAGGAGCAAAAAGATGATGATGAGAAGGACATTGACGAAGCAGATGTTGAGCTTGAAATTCCGGCAGATGAAGAAGGATACGAGCTGAGAGAAGATGAAGTGCTTGAAGAGCACAAGAATTTTTCGCAAACTCTTATTGACGGTGTTAAAAATATAGTTGAAAGACCCAAAACTCCTGAGCCTGATGCAGACAAGTTCCACGTGAAAGAGAAAAACTTTGAAGCAAGAAAAACCCCTCCCGAAGTGCCACACTTTCCTTCGCAAGGCATTTCTTCCACATGTTTACCACCAACAATCCTCGAGGACGATGACGCAGAGAAAAAGATTGAGGCGATGAATAACGTCAAAATAGTAGAATTCACTGAAGTGGCTGATATTCCGGATATTACTGTAACACAGCACCAAACACCTGTAGCTAAAAAGAAATTCGAATATCCAGAATCAGCTTCAGATGAATCCGTTCTCTCCAGTAGCAATAAAAAAGAAATTAGGGTAGAGAAAAATTTTACGGAGAATCAAAGTACTACTGAGGCGTCAGACATTTCCCCTGATGAGGAGGCTGTTATTTTGACGAAAGATGATATAATTTCTGACATCTCGCTAGCAAAAGAGAGCAAGAACGACCAAGCCGATAAATCACCTGAATCGGATGGAACTGACTCGTTCGAATTGTTGGAAAAAGCAGAAGGTGAAAAGGAACCAGAAAAGAAACAGTCAGACGAAGAAGATGAATTTCTTATAATTGAAGAGCTTGCTGATGAGGCTGACGAAAGTGCTTGTATTGCATCTATTCCCCAAGCCATTCCACGAGAATCAAAAATCCCTATACCTAGAAGGAAGTCAACAAAGCAAGACGATGATCTGCTTGTATCTTCTCCACCACCAACAAGCACTCGATTAACGGAAATTAAATTTTATCCGGATGACGAGAAATGTGACATGCCATTCCAACTTGAAGGAACCAGTTTCCAACCTCAAAACGTAGAAACGTATAAAAAGGACGTGGAAGAGGGTAAAAAATGGATAGAGCAACAGTTCAAGGGTGAATATGAAGACTTTGAGCAGCGAGGTAGGCTAGAAGACATTGAGGAAAAGGAAGAGACTGAGCAAAGTCATGCGAGCAGCAAAGTTGGAAGCATGGGAAGTTACAAAGATTCTTTCAGTAGTACACCAGAATATGACGTATTGGCTGGAAAAAGATATTTCTCGAAGAGCAGCGAACATGACGATGTCTCTATGGGATCGTTGCAGGAATTTGAAAAACTTGAGAGAGAGATTGCTCTGCGGCAGTCTTCAGGTTCGCAAGACTCTATCAATGGGGGCAGCTTTCAGCGACGGTACTTGGGCAGTAGAACTGGCCAAGGGGATGATATGTCAGTCTCATCCTTAAAAGAGTTTGAGCGGCTAGAAATAGCTTGCATCCAAGCTGAAACAATTGAAATCAAGGCTAAAGAGGAAGAAGCAATGCTTTCAGAAATTGACGAAGGTCACGAAAGTCAAGTGTCCGAATCTGAAAGTTGCGAAACAATTTCTGAAGCTGGAAAAGAGTCTGATTCAGATGATTATGAAAACAGGATGTTTGAAATTGATGAGATTATAAAGCAAGCTCAGTTTAACGTTGAGTCATTTGAGTCTAAAAAGGGTGAAGCCCATGGAAAGGGTACAAAGAAGGAACAAATTCCATCTGCGAAGCACGCCACAATATGCAAAGAATATGTTTTGCAGTACGAGTGTGAGAACCAGGAAGTGAATCCAATGACAATGAGCACTGACAGCATCGAGTCTCTGCAAGCCAAGGTGGAGCAAAAGAAGATGTTAGTATCTACTGATTCTCTAGAACTGGACACACCCAAGATTCCAAAATCCCAAAGTGCAGATTCCATTGAAGAGGAATTAAAAGGCGAAAAATCCAAAAGCAGCAGCTCAGGTCGGAGAGAAGACAGCCAGGAGGCTGGGGTGAGTGATTTGATGCTCTGCAGCACTGACTCGCTGGAGCCGACCAGCTCGACGGCCACTCACGCTACGTACCAGTACGAAACGGACTCGGTGATGTCATCATCTTTCACAAGCGGCGGCTCAGCCACAATGGTGTCCAGCACGGAGAACGTCGACTTTGACGTCGGCCAACTAAGTGAAGAGCAGCTAACCGAGGCTTTTAAAGCTGGTGGATTTGAAAAAGGAGATGTGCCGGCTCAGTTTTTGCTCAAAAACAACGAATCGTGGACCTACGTGACCGAAGTGATCGAGGGCGACGGAGCCGGTCGCTCCCAGATGATCGAGAGCGTTCCAGAGCCCATTGACCCTAGGCAATACTCTGCTGAGGTCTCCCATATGACTTACATTACCAGACACATCTCCTCTCAATCCTCGAAACCCTCGTCCTCTGAAACCTCAACCATAACAACGATTAGAACTGGACTAACTTCCGTTTCAGAAGGTAGACTAACGCAGATGTTTAATTCAACTATCATGTTATATGATTGGCCGAATTTTATATTTATTTTCGTCCCAAAGCCCCAGAAAAGGTCCCAATATATTTAATTTCTGTTCTGCCTTCACATTTTGATCTGTGTAACAGCACATTTATCAATTTTATTTTGCATGGTTTCGGCAAAATTTTGACTATGTGCATGAATATATGCGGAAACACAAAACCAGACCGACGACTCTCGATCGTCGAATTGTATTTTATTCGAGTTGGGTTGCACGCCGCTTTGATTGTTGTTAGAAAATCACCTCACGAACAAATTTGACACGTAGATAATTTGATTATTATAGATAGTGTATTTGATTGAGTTGAATTCTTTCTTGAAAACAAACTCAAAATGCTAAAAAGGACCAAAAATTATCGTGAATCTTCAAGCGCGCTATAAAACCGGCGTCCTTTGTTACGACGAAATAAAAAAATATTATACTTCTGGTTTTGTCCCCGTCGATAATTGGCGTTAATTATATTTATTATGCATGAATGTGAAATATCAAGCATGAAATTCCATATCAAAAATTTAAAAAAAAGTGTGTTAGCATTCCACATATGAGGCGGTGATTAAAATTCGGCCTCCTCCAAAAACCTGTAAATTGACGTTTCAAAATTGTAAACACCCCATATGCTATACAAAAATGCAATGTTAGCCGTAAATTTAAAAGGCTACGAGTCGGCAAATAAATTTAACATCTTCATTTTTATACATTTTTGCTTGTTTGTACCCATAAACATCATTTCCATACTCAATTATTTCTCTATGTAGAAAAAATTAAACACTACCATTTCCACATATTATAAAATCATATAAATTTGCATCTGATCGTTTATTTTTAGTGTAAAAAAAACAGCTCTCATTATTAAATCATGACAGGCAGTGAGAGAAAGATTGTTTTTACTTTAGATGGTATTGTTATATACATACATATTTCACAAAGAAAATGCTTAGTCGTGCATGTGATGATTTTCGTAGTGTCATGGAGCGTATATATTCGGCTTTAAAATAAAAATTTGATTCTTTGTTGCAGGTGGAAATCAGTCCGAAGGAGGCGTCACGGTTGAGGAAATGCTTCGCGATCCGACCAAACAATCAGGGTAAAGAGCGTTGAATTAGTTCAAAAAAAAAAAGTTAATTAAAAAATTATAATCAAAAGAATAATTTTGATTTTTTATAAATGCAGTTTGATTTATTGCATTTAAGAAAATTTATATCAGAATATAATTTTTACTGTTGCCAGCAAAGGAAAAATATGGATTTTATATTCCTGGTTGAATTTCAGGGTCGCAACCAAAGAGAACAAGTAGACAACTTTCAAGAACAGCCCACCAACGAATCAAGAGAAAATCAATCTTCCTAATACGACCATTACCACCCCCCGATTAGTCAGTCAGCCAAACACCGCTAAAAGCTAAAACACTGGAATGAAAGCAACAACATTTTTGGGATCAAGTTTAGTAATGCTATACAAAAATAATAGCTCTGGAATAATAACGACGAGCGCTGAAAAACGCGTTTCTATCAAATGAATCAAATGTTTATTGTACCAAGACGAAGAAAATGAACTGTCACCACTTTTCTCCCTAATGCGTCACACACACCGGATACAAATACTCCCCGTAAAAGAAAACAAAAAACGTGTCTATGACAAATTTTCGATAATGGAAAGAAAAATCTTTGTGCATTTTCAGCCATTGCTATATCTCCTAAACCAATTTCTTTGTAAATTTTGAATTTTATCCAGACTGTGAGCACTTCAGCAATGAATTCCAATTCGTTGATATTTTTCATTGAGGAAAGTGGAAACGAAATGTGTCTGTGCGTTTTGAAGCGCGTGTACCGGCGATATTAAGCTCATTAATATCGCTTTCGAGTCACACGCGTCCCTTTTAATTTTATGATTTGTAAAATTAATTTAGTTTCAAACCTGGCAACACATTTTGTTCCATAATTTTTCCGCTCGTAATAGTAAATTTAAATTTCGGCGCACCTCGCCTGCCATGCAAATGAGGGCCCTTGTTGGGCCCCCGCGTTTAGTGGACCCGAGTCCCGATCGGCCGTGGGTCGGGACCCAAGTCCACGAAAATTGTAAATTATTGCTCTAGTGTCTTGCTATGCTAGCTGTAAGATTAAGTCGGACGAAAGAAGAAAAGAAAAAATTTATGGAAAAAAAACAAATATTTCAAATATTTTACGATGACACACACACTCACTCACTCACACACACACGCGTTCACCGAATTTAATCCTGGTTTCGGTAGGTTTAGTTTCCCGTTTTTTGTTTACTTCTTTTTTGAATTTACTATTGTTTATCTGCTGTAATGTATCATTAAGTACGATTTCTGTATATGATTATTGATATGAGTAATTAATAATAATATATACATGATATATATTTTATTGCTTGCGGTCGGAGAAGCGATATCAAAATGTGAGATAAAGATGTATTTTTATTGTTGTTCTTATCTGCTGATTTTAATTATTTACGTTGTAGGTAGTTGAAAAAAAAGCGAAAAAATATTGAATAACAAGAAGTTAATTTAAAAGAAAATATATTTGAGATTACGAGCCCTTGGCTAGAGTTGAAAGCACCGAGGGGCACGACGATATTTTAATTTTTAAATTGTAAGACGAGGAATATCGCTATATGATGCTTAGAACGATAATATTTGCGTGTAAAGATATTTCACTACACATAGTGCTGCTTTGAAAGTAAAAAAAAAAACGAGAGAAAATCTGCCACCGAGATTTTTGTAACCGACCACTGATTTTTGGGATGAGCCACACAATTCAGGGCCTCGGCTCAGCCCCAGACTTCAGTTGTGGGCACATGAGAAATAAAAAAATTAATAAAAATGTACATCTTGCGCGCAGTATAATTTTTGACTATTCACCTAAATCGAGATAAATGATCAAATAAATTATGGGTTAAAATAAAAAAAAATTAAAAGTATTTCATTCATTAAAACCGGGACAAAAGATAGGATTAAAGCAAATTATTTTTGTATTCTGAAGAAAATAAAATATAAAGATTATTACTTATTTGCTGCAAAACAAATTCACTGAATTTTATGCTTATTCGTCTATTGTATTTTCAAGAAAGGATCATCAGCTATTATATTAGCTAATATATGAGGTAGCTCAGAACACTGGTAAGCCTTTTATCAACAAATGTTCAATTTTAATTTTGTTTGTTTGTTAATAATTACTATTTTTATTAATTTAATTTCCAAAATAATGTTTCAATTAACTACATTTTTTTATTTTTTTTTTAATCATAATAAAAAATGATAAAAAACTTGCTATTTACTGAAAACTCTGTTAAAGTCATCAAGAATAATTGGATCGAATACAATTTCAATCTATGATCATAAGATTTGCAGAAATTGAAATTATAAGCAGGAAGTATTATCGATATAATACACAGCTTGTGACTAAAACGTATGCAACACACTTGACAAGGAGGTCACGCGGGTTGCGGCAGGCGCTTTTCATCCCGCCAATTAGATTCAACGTGTGTATCAACGAATGGCTGATTGCCTGATTGATTTTATCTCACCAATAACACAAGTCAAATTTTTTATCGCTTTGTTTTAATCACAATAATGACCGCAAAAATAAAACTTTGGAGATTTTATTCATAATAAATAACGCCTTAATTGCAGACCGAACTTAGTAATGTGATTGCTGCATATGAATAAGGTAAATAAAAACACAAATAATTATTCATTAAACGTTAAGCAAATTTAAAAAAAAAAAACAGTTTGTTTGTAAATTAGAAAATTGATTATTGGAAACTATACAGCCTTTAGGAAAAATCAAGCATTAATAAATAACAAAAAAATATTTTAATATCATCAGTAGTGGAATCGGGTCAAACGCACAAAATCTCTGGAATATTAATTACTAAGATCATTTTTCATTAATTATGCATGAAATAAATTTGGACTTTACTGTTTCCATTTCTAAAAAATGGCTATAGAAAAAACACCAACAATTCATCTAATCTCCATATTTTTTCATAGCTATATAATTGAAAATCACTTCCATTATCCATAGGGATGCATTGAGACTTCTGGCTCAATTTTAATAAAATAAAAATCGAATAAATTTAAGAAATGTGCCAATTGTACGCATCAGATCTGATCATGGAACTTCTCACCTCGTCCGAGTTGGTCAACCTTGAAGTCAGCGACCATCACCTCAGTGTGTGACTCCAAAGTAAGGTGACAAGCCTTAATTTGATATAAATAAAAGTCTTCATGCATTTAAATTAACTCAGGATTGATTTAATATTTTGCCATCTTCCACGTCTGATGAAAACTGAGAATTGAAAAAGATTTCAAAATGATTTCCAGCTGTAAAGCCTAAAATTGATGTAAAAAAAACAGTCTCCATTAGTTTAGAATGACACAGGATTGATTTAATATTTTACGATCTTATGCGTTTGATAAAAAACTGAAAAATGAATAAAAAAAATTCAAAATGTTCACAAGATGATAAGACTTAATTTGATATAAATAACAGTCTCCATGCAATTAGATTGACACAGGATGAATTTAATATTTTTACATCTTCCGCGCACACTCAAAAATAGAAATCTCAAATTGACTCTTTTACGACATGTATATAGCTGACCTTGCGTTTTCGACCGAGTAAAAAATGTAAATTAGACTTAATTTTGAGCCTCGTAGGTTAATTTGAACAGCGAGAACGAAGACGGGAACTTATGTACCTTTCCGGCGGCGAGTCTAACTGGCTTTCGAGCAGATCTCCCGAGTCAGTTGGAACTCGCTACGCTGCTGCGCTGACTGGAGTGCTTGCATTTCGGCCGATTTTTGCCTTTTTCGGGCCGAATTTTAGCTCAATCTTGACCCCGACGAAACACGATGCATTTAATAAACAAAGAAAGCCATTATTAATCATATTTGGGCGGGTCCGAATGTCTTGTGGGAGAAAAGTGGGAACGGGTTTAGCAACCCGACAAAGTTGTCCCGAGGGAATTAAATAATATCTCGCCCTGATTGAAACTTTTTGAAATTTGGCGATCGAGAAGCTTATATTTTAAGAATAATTAAGGCATGAGGAAAATCGTGGTGCTATTTATTTTTTAATCCGAGCAGCCGTTGTCGCGCTGTGAGCATAAATACGCGCCGGCCTCTGCTTTGTCGCTTCGCACTCGCGGCGGAGAGCGGCGCGCTCGATTCATTAGATGTTTGCGCGAATTTTTTATTTTATTAGAAAGCGTTGAGATAAATCGTTCAAATTTTCAGCATTGATAGCAAACTAACTGAAATAATTTTTCATTTTTAATTCATAAAAAATATTTATCTGGAGCAAAGTAATTAACGTTTCCGCGAGAATTTTAATGTTTTAATTTTTAAATTAGAGGAAAATTTTTAAAATTACAAACCCTAACAGAAAATTGTAGCTAATTGAATTCTCTACAGTCAATTAAATAAACGTTTTGATGTCCAAATTTTTTTATTTGCCAACGGGATGACTAAAGTTAAAACATTACTTTAAATCAGGGCGAAATATTATCTGTTGTCAAGTGAAGAATGAAAATAAAAATTCAAAATTATTTCCCTGGTCAACATACCAGCTGAGAAACATAAAATTGATTAATAGCAGTCTCCAAGTGCTTTATTAACAATCTCCTTAGGTAAAAATGGTAAAATATTAACGATTTATTCATTTCATTAATTTATTTTAATTTGGTTTTGATCACTTTTTATGTGTTTAAAAATATTACTGAAAATTATAATAATGAAGCAACAATTTAATTGTAATAAAATGTGAAAATTCCGTGCATAGTAATTTAACATTTTCCTATTTGATGTTTGTTTATGGATTGAAAAACATAACCAATTCTAATAAATTGATAAAAAAATCTAACTAGAATTCCGCAAACTTACTTTATTGTTCAATCCCTGCGCATTGAGGAGCGGCGATTGGTGCGCAAGTCGAGGCGCGCGCTCGTGGAGGAGAACGCCGTAGTTTTACTCGCGAGGAGAAGAGTCCACAATCAGTCTGACGTGCAGCGTACGAAGTGAAGGAGCACCATCTCAGCCCACTAACTAAGGTAAACACAACATTCGGGGAATCCCTTCCGTCTAATCATGCTGATGGTTTTTTATGGCAGTGATAATATCATGTGTCAATCAATAGTTCTAGTTTTTAAAATTTTAAAGTTTCTCACGTTTGATCTAGATTAAAGAATTTCTGACTTCCATCGACTTAATTTAACTTTTTTATGGCCGGTATTATTTTTATTTTAAAAATTTATTGATATTTAAGCGTTAAATAAAATAAACAAGGAATTAAAGAAGGACTAAAATACCTAGTTAATTTATAAAATTAAGGTTAGAATTAATAGAAATCTTTGATTGATTGATTGATTCAAATTATTTTCAATCTTTTTCAATTCAATTTTATTCTCTTTAATACAAATGAAAAAAAAAATAGATTTCTACTTATTTTGTTCAACTTCAACGATTAATTAAACAACTTTGTCCGGTTTTTATACAGATAATTAAATAACAATTACCTCATGGGAAAAAGTACTCGGCAATCTCCAATCTCGCTTTTTATTATTCGCCTCCTCTTGATGTGCGTAACAAGCAACTTCCCATGCGTTCTATGGCGGATGTCGTTTCGTCTCTTATTATTTAAGGCAATTTATTCTTTGACCGCGCAATTATGCTAACGAAGTGACATGAGTTGGAGTTCGGAGAGGTGACCTGTTCATTTGCAAGCTAGGTCAGAAAAATCGCCAGTACAAGAGGTCAGTTGGCAAAAATATAAAAGATTTTGCTCTGACAAAAAAAAGTCACTGGCGTCTGACCCCCATCTTAATGTTATAGAGGAACAATGAAGTTGACAACGTATCTAATCAGTTTTAATTGAGTCTTATTAAATGATGGCTAGCCGGGCTCAGATTCATTTTGTCTTTCCTCCTCAACCAAATAAAATTCCTGATCATTTTTAAGCACATCCAATAACTTAAAATTGTTGAAAAATTCTTTACTTTTTAACAGAGTTAGAAGTAATAATCAAGTTAATTTCCTTCATTCAAACTTTTAAATCTTCCCGTCTCAGTCATTTTTTTTTTAAATTGCTGAAAAAAATGTATTTTTTGCAGCTTTTTGGCAGTTCTATCTGTGCATGATGAGCTCTTCCTCCGGCTCGGTGCAGTCCATGTCTCCGCCGAATCTTTCTCCGCAGAGGAACGTGATCCAGATCACCGCCGAGCAGTGGGACGCTCTGGAGGCGCAATTCGCCAAAGTCAAGAACCCGCACCCGACCGACTTGGTGCTTCTCGCAGCTGAAATCGGACTTGACGAGAACGACGTCCAGGTAATTTCTCAATAATCTATTGAATTGCAAATTAATGGTAGCCAAAAATCTCTCAAAAACCGTGCAAAAATCAAAACTGTCAAATAATATTGTAAATTGACAACTTTAAACTAAAAAAACTTATTTTGCTTCTTTATTTTTCAAACAACAGAAACAAACTTATTATAATATTGTTGAAGGTTTTTTTTAAGCAATATAAATTAATCAATTTTTTGTTTTAAATATTTTTCGGTTTTTTGATCTGCCAGATTTATTTTCTTTTATTGAAATTAACCAAGATCTCTAAAATTTTAATTTTAAGCTACATAGGCGCAACAAAAAACCGCAAGTTTTTGTGAATTAACTTAGCATATATTTTCCGTCATTTTTAGTAAGTATGGACAAATAATAATTAGCAAATTGGAAATAGCAAAAGAAATAAATAATTGCATTGCATTGCATGAATTTTCATTCGAGTCAAAAAACTTGCTGCAGCAAAATGAGTGTGGTTTAAAAAGCATATCAAAATGATTCACCACAGAGCAGAATAAAAATAGAACGACTCTCATTATGTAAATATCATAAAAATAAAATATATCTCGTCGCGACCCCAGACAGATTTGTGTCGAGTTTCTCTGCGGTTTGGCGACACTCGTTCGATTTGAAAGGGCGCAGAAAAAATAGTACAGTGCCCTTCATTTAATTATTATATTTATTTGTCTGCGATTGTGCTACAATATCGCAAGTGCCCCGAGCTGTCATGCAGGATTAATTCACTGCAATTGCTGCACGCGGTCTTACATTCACATGTATTACGGCAGCCAAGCGTAAAACTCGGATCACATTTCTTCGGCGCTATATTTGCATTAGAGACGCCGCCGCCGTGAAATAACAAGAAGCGGCGGCATAAGAGAGACTTAAAGAAAGGCTTCGTTCTCTTGTTGTTTCCGCGACAGACCTTGTCTTGCTGAACAAATAATATACGAGCCGACCGCTAAATGATACGGAGCCACCTCCTCAATCTTACAAAATAAATTATGCAGATTTGTTTTGCAAGAGACATGGTTAGTTTGAATAGAATTTCAATCTGTCAGGAGAGAATTTTTATGATAGTTTTTTTTCTTTTAAGTAACAAATTATTTTAATTTACTTTAACAGTTTTATAAAATTTCAATTTGAAGATCGTTTTTATCTCAATTAAATTGCTAAATTACTGTCAAATCTCAATTTTATGATTGGTAAAGAATGTTGAATTAAAAAATTCATTTTACTTTCTCGTCGTTTCAATTACTGAAAAGTTCATTCTGTTAATTTCTCATTGAATCTTGATTTAAAAATAATCAAGAAATTAATAATCCTCATTTAAAAGATCTTAAATTAGAAAAAACGGAACTATCTGCAAAAATAATCAAAATCATGGTGTTAGTTCATTTTTTTTAAGTTCACCGTTCTTAAAATGGCATTGCTTGGATTTACATTTAATAAGTGAAATATTTTCTACAAGAAAACAAAAAGAATTTTTTTCCAAGCTCTATGCTCCAGTTTTAATTTGAAGTGCTCATATTATTATTACTCTGTCTATGCGTGGGTGTGATTTCAATTTCCTGAGACAGGCGCCCTTGAGTCCCTCTTTGAAGTTGACCAGATGCCCAGTACATTTATCTAAACTTAAAACCCTTCCCCAGCTCCTCTTTATGCATTTTTGTCTTCCCCGCGGCTTGTATTGGACTTGACCATTGAAATTATAAATAACCGGGAATTCTTCCGGAAAGAGAAACTTGTCCAAAATCATGCTGCTAATTCGACTAACAAAGAGGCTCACATTCTACTTTCCGCCCGAAATTATTCCCACGGAGAGGCTTTATCATCTCTATCATCTCCTGCAATTTTCGTATAACTTTCACATAAACATTTCACAAAATTTTCTAACAATAAGAAGAAATGTTTCATTTTTATTTAATTTTAATCAAATTTAAAATTTACCAGGAAATTAAATTTTTATTCAGATATTTATTTCTTTGCTTAAGTATAATAAATAATAATCAGTTGTGAGGTTCTCGGTGGGCGGAAGCAGCGTAATTGATGTATTCAAGTTGATTGGCGTTGTCAAAGTTCGCGTTTTATCTCCGGCAGCTATTCGTGTTTGCGACGAAAGACATTTTGACAGCATAACTCTAGTGTTTATAATCGACCTTTGAATTCATACTCTCTTATCAAACTACCACGCAGACACGTAGGCTGTGTGACTTCATATTTGCAAATTTTAGAAATAAAAATTTACGAGCTTAAATTATAAATATGGACACTTTTTTTGTGGTACGAAAAAATCATAATTTTATATAAATGAAATTCAAATACCAAGAAATACTCCTATTTTTTTCATTATTTTAATTGCTACGATTCTAATTTGTCATTTTTTTAAATAAAAATATGGAAAAGAAATAATTGTTGCTCTTGACTTCAGAAATCAAAGTCGCAGCGATTCTAAGTTGACTTGTTTTTAACAACAAGTAATTTCAATCGGAGAAAAATGAAAAAGATTCATTTAAATCACTTGAAATTGATATACCATTTTCAAACAAGAATTAAATTTATTCTACTAATTTTTGTCGATATCGGTCAACATGAATTTGCATGAATAATTTCCAAGCGGTACTTTTTTGGCTCGGAGCAAATTCAACTGCCGAGAATTTTATACATTTTCTCTCTCTCGTGTCAAAAACTCGTCTCTACACACGTCAAATCGTTTCCTGCCGCTTTCGTATCTCAATTATCGGCGGCCGTTCTTCCTCTCATCGACGGCAATTACAGCCGGAGATGCAGCAGTAATTGCTCATTTACCTAAAATATATATCTAGAACGTGCATGGCCGGTTGTAAAAGAGCGTAATATAAATTACATGATTGAGAGAGTCGAAGAGCTTTTTCTCTCTCTCGCGTACGGTAAATATCACATAAAATGGAAATCAGCTCAACACACACGTTGATTATTTCTCACTAAAAACCACACCGCCGATGATGCCCGTTAACATGAAAAACGCATAAAATGTCCCTTGGCCATCAAGGCATTATATTAAATATCTCCTTTTTAGGTTACAAAAATATCATCATCTGATTAATTTAACGAGTCTCACCAAATTATTATAATCGACCTGAATGATTTTGATGTTGATGAATTAATTCAAAATTTACTAATAGTATTTTTAGTATTTATTGTAAAATAGCTATAATTAATCACAAGAAATAAATTCCTGTAAATTTGGAGGCAAATATAATATTTTTCATTTTTTTCGATCTTGATAAATTTCTAAAAATTTCGATAAATTCAGAAGTTTGCAAAAGAAATTCACAAAGAATGAAAAAATTTGCATTTGATTAGAAAATTAAACACCTTGGATCATCTCGTCTCGTTTCCTTCTAATTCGCTCCGATGCGTTTTCCTGTCCCAGATTTCTTTCTTTTTTATCCGTTTGGCGCCGCGCACGAGACATAAAGGGCCGGTTTGACATTTCATACCTGGCCGTGTAATTGAATATAGCGTTTACGTGTTGTAGTTCTTCATCGCATGCTTGTCCACCCAAGAGAGGCCATAGAGGAAAAATGAAATGGGAATACAATAATGCGAGAAAGACACGTTGTAAAAGTACTAGTTGCGTAAAAAAAAAAAACTGTGCACATTCCTTCTTTTAATGGGACAAAAAGCTAGACAATAAAAATTGAGAAAATTGAGGAAAAAAATAATTGTTTCCTAGATTAAAAAACCTAGGAACGTTTATTAACTTCCTTTTAATTAGAATTTTTAATTTTTAAAGTCTAGTTGTGATCGAAGTGAAAATCAAATAAACTTATGATATTATTATATTATTTATTTTTATTTCCAATTTATTTCCCTATAACAAAAATTATTTATTACTTTTTTTTTAATTTGATGAGTTTGATCAGTTATAAATTTGAATTTCAATTCTTTATGAAAATTTTTCTCAAAAACTTACTCAAAAATATTTCTTTCGTTTTTCTTAATATTTATTTTGTTTTCTTTTTTTAACCCTTTTCCTCATTCTGTGGCGCATTTTTATTCAACATAGTGGCAGTAAAAAAGACTCAAATGTGTTCTTCTTCTGCTGCTGCTACTTTTCCGCCAGTAATAAAAAATCGAAACTAGGCCAGACTTGGCTTGTTTCACATTCATTCGGAAAGCCGCACTGGCAATAAATATCCATGCAGTGTCCTTTATTTTCCACGCGTATTCTCTGCTCTGCCGAAATCTGCATTTTTCTCTCCCTCTCGTTGTGGCGCAAAACGAAATTATTGTGAATCTGGACCGCCGCGAGTGAAATAATTTTCTATTTCGGAATAGCTCGCGCGTTTTGTAACGTTGCTTGGCAGAAACACAGTCGGCGGACGCGGCACGTCAAAATTTATATAAAGGGGAGGACGAGATGCATAAAAGTGAATATTTAAATAAACACACGCCCGCTGACGAGGAAGGCCGCCGCGTTAAAATAGAATTCGACGGCGGCACACTTCAAAAAACGGAACTCTGTTGCAAAAAAAAATTATCTAGACAAAATAGAAATTCACAGAATTTATCACCTGTCACAACAGGCAAATAAAAATTGCGATTTAGTTGATAGTAAAGGTTTTAATACTTTTCATTCTTAATTGCTAAAGTTTAAATCCTCTAAAACAGCTTTTTAATATCTTTTTATTTTGCACGGAGAGAAATAATAAGGTTTGAATTTACGGAATAAATAGGTTCTATATCTCAATCGTCATATCAAAGTGAATAAATGGCAAAAATATCCATAAATATCTTCAAGAAATGTTGACAAATTTTCCGCTTTTCAAATTTTTTCATCTGAAATTTGATGTAAAACTTAGGATCATGATGTTTTTATATGAAAACAAAATATTATAAAATTCTCCAGTTGGGCGTTGGATTAAAAAAAAAAACGTAACCATAATCAGTTTATTGTAAGTTTAACAGCTTTTCATCAAATTGTTTTTTGAATTATTTAATTTTTTATGTGCATAAAATATTTTGAAAAAGAAAAAAATGTATTCATATCTCTAAGAAATTTAAAAAAAAAAAAAATTCAATAAACAAACTTATTTGTATTGTCAAAACTACTAAATTATTAAATGAGAAATTATACACATTACTAACAATAGTTAAAAAGTTATAATAATAACAACCTATTTTTTTTCAAACAGAATACATTCTAATATTATTATACATTTTTTAATACATGTTTCATTTATCAAAATGGAAATCTTTTTCCATCAGTTTTTCTGTCAAAAGAATAGTAAATTTACGTAATTACCCTCAATAAAAAAATTTATAAATATCTGTTATTTTTAAAATAAATTTGATTTTGTGTTACAGGCTTGGTACACCCAAAGGATTGCTGCCTGGCGGAGGTCGCAGGGCCTCAGTCCGTTCTCCGGCAGAGTCGACTAAAAACCGCATAACCAATTATTTACTTCTCAGTGTAATATTCTCCCCAAAACGTCATTAACGGAACTATAAGAAATTATTTTAACTGTTGGCATAAGCAGCTGTCCGTTCCATTTTTCCAAAATGTGATGTCTCGCCGTGCACTTTTTGTGTGCTTATTTATACGAGAGCAAATCAAAACACGTTAGCTGTAAATTTATATATCAAAACACGTGCGAGATGAATGGCAAGAAAAAAAGTAGCTTTTTTTGGACAGCTGCCAGGATTTGTGTCAATCGGCAGCAGATTGCTAACTAATTTGAGAAGGAGCGACTCATCGTCTTTGTATTTCACATACAATTTTTTTTAACTTTAGGACCAACTATTCTTCTTGTCAGGCAGTTAATTGACTTTGAAAATATTTGTTATTCTATGATGTATTAATTATTTGCATCGCATATTGTTTGTACCTGAAGTCAATTTTGATGAATTAATTGTATAGCTAAAAATGTGTAATGTATACCCCAATGTAACTTTATACTTTCCCTATATGTACTCTATCAATTTTAATTAATTAATATATACAGAAAACACCAAAGGCAGCAACTATACACGTGAACTCTATGACAGTTATATAATTAATTCTCGTTAATTTATTTTCTTACTTAATTACTTCACGTCTTTTCCTTAAAAACGCAATAAATAAAAGTCACTTGTATATCCAAAGTAATTAATTAAATTAAATAATAAAAATACTTAGATTATCGAACATTGGCCGTTTATATTCCTTCCATACTGACCCTGCAAAGAAATCAAGTGCAAGTGCGCCGATGAGCCGCGCGGTCGGTCAAAGAATAGAACCGGAGAACGCACATTATTGGTTTTATTTTGGTGCGGCGCGTCACCTCTCTCTTCAGTGTTTTCTCGAGAGGAGTATACTTGGACACGGCAGGAATTTTGACGTAATCTCAACAACCGTGATGAAACAATTTGTTTGTGAGCGAGAGAGAAAAGATGAGAAGATGCTGAAACCATGATCGTAAAGTTTCCCAAGAGCGAAAACGCACTTTCTGCCAAAAATAAAACATTACAGAAACCTCCATAAGTATTTACTTATTATAACTATTGCAAAATTATTGTTGAAAAAATATTTCCAACACCTTTCAATAAATGTTTTATTTTTATTTTTATTGAATTAAATTATAAAATGAATTCTCTTTTTCAGCAAGACTAAATTATTATTCTCCTTGCGCTTCTTCTTTCACGCAGCATGTTAATGAGAGTCTGTCTTTCCTCACTCCGAAGAAAACACATCCTTGACCTTCACCAAGCGCGATGAATTGAACGCTTTGTGCTCAGAATTTTAAGGAAGGCTGCTTAGATAAGAACTGTATTCTAGGTCAAAGGACTAAAAGGTTTTAATTTAAGAAACTAAAAAAATTTAACGAATTTTTTTCCTTGATGATCAACAATAATTGTGAATAATTTATTGCACATTAAAAGCTTGGTAGCGTAAAATGAAGCTAATTTTAAGTTTTAACATGAGTAAAAATAGTGTTTGAATAATTCGACAAATAGCAAAAGCTGCTCCAATATAATTTGCACATTTCATATAATTTTGTTCAGAGGCAAGGCTTGTTTTTTTAAACACACATTTAGAAATGAATCAGTCTTTCAAGTGGAAAGCTATAATTGGCGTGTTTTTTTTACTTAAGAATTAGTTAAATTGTGACTTTCGAAACCAATGTCAGGAGCTGCTGGACGATCCAGACATCCCAGACGATCCTAGGGCTAGGGCACCAGGACCCCCGACTATGGCAAGTGATCGGATGGCGTTCAGTTTCCTGTCAATCTCGGACTTCTTCTCTGACATCTTCTGAGGTGTTTTTACCAATGTTCCACCATCGGCTGACATGTTAGCAAGATGAGTGAACAACCGCAGAGACGTCCCATAGTATTCAGTCTGAACACAAGAAACAAACATGACACATGATTTAGAATTTTTTTGTAGTTTAATAATAATTTAATTTAGTTTTTAAAATAATATAATTCATGAGAGAATAAAGTATCAGAAAAAAATTGAAAAATTTTACATTTTAATCAATTTTCTCGGTAAAATTAAAGAATTTCTAAAATTTTAATTTTAAATTAATATTTTTTACCTGGTTTTGAATAATTGACTGCAAGGAAGGGGTCAAGTACTGGCCTCGTAGCTCATGGAAAGTATGAAGCTCAGCCAGCAGCCTTTTGTGAGTTGTTTGAGCTTCAACGATGGCCTGTAAAATTCTCATTTAATTTCAAACAAAATTAAAATAATTGAATCCGTACTTGCTCAAGAGACTTTTTAAGCATCTGTTGTTTGGCAATGTTGGCAGTCGACTTTTCCTTGTCCTGCAGCTTTTTTATTTTGTTCTCCAGCTTTCGGGCATCTGCAATCGAGGTGTCTCTTTTGTGAATGAAGGACGAGACATTCGAAAACTCTCCGTTGTACTTTTTCATCGGATCCACCACCGTCTTCTGATACACTTTGCCCGTTTCTTGAACCGTTTTGCTCATCTGAAGTAAAAAATTAAATCAGCAAATATTTTCAGTTTGAATTATTATTACCTCAGTGGTGACTGTGGCGTACTCTTCGACAACACCTCTGAATTTTTCGTTCTTTTGGCACGCAGCTGACGAGGACAGGTCGTTGACCAGTTTGTTCTCGGCCTTGCTCAGGTTCTGCACACCATCTGTCAGCTTTTTTATCTCCTTGAGGATGCGCTTGTTGGCGTCTTCCAGCTTCTGAAGCTTGACGTACAAGTCCTCGAGTTCCTTATCAACCACCCTGTCGATGATTCCGGGCGCAGGGTCTGGCTTGTGGGTTAACGAAGACTTCCGCAAAGGGTTCCTGCAAAATATTAACTCATTTAATTAAAATTATACCTTATATAAAATTATATTATATCAAGAGAATGTTGATTTAGTTTTAGAACAGAATTAATAAATGTTTTTAAATTAGTTTGTGTTTTAAATATTGAACTGATAAGAAAGTTTTCACATAAACATGAATTTCTTAGCAAGTTGAAAGTTACTGTTTTTAACAGAGGTGATAAGACTGTTTACGAAAGATTAAAAAAAAAGCAGGAAAGTCACATGCAAATTAAAAAGGTGCAAAATTTTGCAAGTGTTTGGTGTGAAATTACAAGTTGAAATTCGTACGAACCATGATGCCATGGTTAGAGCAGCGCACTTTAGCTCTCAACTTTTACAATTTTCACAATCATTTTCTATCCAGCAAGACCAATATTTTGCACAATTCTTGAGAAATCATGCTAGCGCAGATGGCACATATTTATTTACATTTTTTGCAATATTATTAAAAATCCGGTTTAACTGGTGATTTATAAGAAAACCGGTTATTTAAAATTAAGAAATGTAATTAAAATTAAATATTTAGTTTCATATTACCATAATAAACACATAATTAAGTTAATTATAGCTTATTTTCTAAATGATTGGATCCAAAGATAAAGTTTTGATGAAAATATTGTTTTTTTAATTAAATTACCGGAAAAACCGGTATTTCTGCCTTTAAAAATTGCTTAGTGATTGTTTATGTGGCGGGACGGCAGATGGCGCAGGCTGCCGGAATTCAGGTTGTTTCAAGCCGCAAACTCGTGGTCGGTGCCTGCGACTTGTGAGTTATTCGCGTTCTTTTTGCCGAGTCTGACAAGCACATCCTCGCCGGTTTCGTCTTACCTGTCCCGAGAAGCATCTCGACATGGCAAATTACCACAAACCCGAGTCCAAGAGCATTCAGGAGCTGCGGGACATCGCCAACAAGTTGCGAATCCACTCCATCACGTCCACGGACGCCTCCAAGTCAGGGTGAGAAGAAAAATTTCGCCGGCTTTATGATTGTGTGCACCACCTGTTAACCTTTAACCATTTCGTTCTTGTTTGCTTTGGTTTTGAGCACAATTTTAGGTTTTTCCTGCTGGGTTTTATCCTTTACTGCTTCATGGATGCAGACTATTTTTAAAACGAGTTCTGAAAGAAATTCCATCAAGATTTTCGATAATTGGATTTGGTGTTTGCTTTAAAACTTCAAACTAACCGAATTTCGACGGATATTCAAATTCAGGACCATAATTTTATGTTAGAAATCTATTTAAATTATTCTTTCAATACTTAGTTCGACCAGAATTCCTATTTTGCTCGTAGAACTTGTTGGAAATCGGAGGAAAACTTCTTGAGAATGTTGATTCGCCTTAGGCTTTTTAGGAAATCTTGTTGGAGATTTTTTTAAGCCTGCTTTGTTTCCAGACTTGCAAGCAAACGGGAAACAGAAACGTTGTCCACCTCAAGCGTTAACCACAAAATTAGATTTTATTTGAAAAATCAATTTAAAGCGACTGAAAAAAACACATAAAAATGATATTAATTCTTATTTTTAATAAATTATAATTTTATATAAAAAGTAAGAAAAAAATATTGGGATTTTGAGACATATTTTTATTTTATTATAAATCTTATAAATAATTCTAAATTATTTAAACAAATGTACATAAAAAATAAAAAATTTGAATTTTTTTTCGGGATTTTGTGACATTGTTCTTTTATAACTTAAAAATTCAATTACTGGGATTAAAAAGCCTAAAAAAATTTGCAGTTTTTTTCTCTTTGATCTCTTCGTCATTATCAGCAGTGCAGTCTTTGGAATCGGTGGATTATAAAACGAAAATAATCACGGGTGGTGCTCGTGGCCTTGACTCCGCCGCCGCCGCTCTTTTGCTCATTTCGGAAAATCGCGGCCTGCGCGCTTTATGGGCATCGTGAGTTTGCACAGCGACCGCGGCAAGCGTGACTCTCAACAATTCAATGCCACTTTTTATATGCGCAAAGTCTGCAATTACGGACGAGAGTTTATTTTAGCCGAGGAAGGATGATTTTTCTATCACAATCAATATAATTTTCCTTTATTTCTTTCTTCATAAAATAATAGGTGTTAAATTAAATAATTGGAATTTACTAAAATTTTAGGGCCTAGACAATTAAATAAGAAACACTCCTTGCTGATAAAATGAGAAACTTTTGATAAGTTTTATTATCAAAACTGTCATGGCACTATTTCTTAACATTTTACCGCTTTTAACTGTTTCTTGCATTCTAAAAATTATGATTAGGACAAATTTTTTTTATAAATTTATTACCCCTGTTTTGCCATTTCGTTTTATTTAAGGATTTTAAATCAAAGCTTAAATTTTCGAAAAGTAGAAAAAAAATTATGCTGGCTGAGGATTGATTTTTAATTTTAAAGTTCAAATTCTGGCACAAAGATTCTGATTACAAAAATTTTTAATACTTGATCTCTCTGGCATGGTTTCAGTTATCCACGAAAAAAATAAAAAAATCGATCTTAAAATCCAAAATTTTATATTTTTTATTGAAATCAACAAACGTTTTCAATGTGATTTTTTCCTGTCGACAAAATAATGTCTAAGCTTTTAAAATTTGAACTGAAGATGATTTTTTTTCAATGGGTAAAAGTTAAGTTGCAAACTCTAATTACCACTGATAAAATTGTGGGTTTTGTCTTATTATTGATTGGAACAATTTAAAGGAAGAAACTAAAGTATCAAATAAAATGGTTATCATTAATCCAGAAATGAAGAAAATATTTTGAATAAAGTTTGCGAAGAAAAAATAGTGAAATTTTCCAGCTTAAGGGAAAGTTTTAATTCATAAACATATAAAATTCGGGTAATTAATTAATAAAACCAGTGAAATTTTAGCAGTTTGACTTGCAAGAAAAAAAATAAAAATAAGATTTGATATTGCTTGATATTTAATTGAAGAGAAAAATAAATTGATATTTTCTGATTTTTAAAACGGATTTAAATTAATCCATTTATTTAATTTTTGGGCCATTCATTAAAACTTTTTGGAAAAATTGAAAGCTTCTAATTTTGAGAAGTGCCAATCTCGCTCTCGGTGGTTTTGGAAGGAGAAAGTGGAGGTGGCGCACGCGCTGCCTGCAGATTGATAAAAGCGGTGCGCGACCGGCGTCGGTTCCTCAGTCCGTCGCCGTCCTCCGCTCTTTCTTATCAAGCCGAACGCACCGCAAGCCATGAAGGACCTCGTCTCGAAGGAGCAGGTGGCCCAGCTGCAGGCCATGGCCAATACCCTGCGCGTCCACAGCGTCACCTCCACCGACGCCTCCAAATCGGGGTACAAAATTTTGCACTAATTTAGGAATTTTTTCCGTCAATATTATTATTTTTTCGAAATTTAAAAAGATTTCTATTTTTATTCAAGAATCTATTTTTCTCCGCCCTCATTACATTAAAATTCATCTAATCTCATTATTTGAAGAGGAATAAATTAATTGCAAATTAATCCGAGGGATAAATTGCGTAATTTTATTTTTTTATTTGCACGCGGTCCAATCACGCGAGTTCCATGAACTTGAAGGTGACCCCAAGCGAATCGATCCGAATGTTTCGGCTGCCGCGGCACGACCCACCGCAAACTTTCATTCCCCAATCAAGTCCTAACGGTCCGTCTGACCAAACTCGCATAAAATTCGCCAAATTCCGCCAAGAGAGAATCCGAGAAACGCCGGTCGGATTCTTGTCCGTCTGCGTGACTTGCGATTTTCAAATGCTTTTGATTGTCCGCATGCCTTTTGCTAATTTCTTTGCTGGTTTGGAATTTGACTCCTTTGACCCTTCCAAGGTAATTGTTAACAACTTCTCAATCTCTCCCTTTAATTAATTCTAATTATTTTTATAATAATTTTGGAACTTTTCAATATTTTCAGTCATCCGACGTCATGTGCCTCCATCGCCGAGATCATGTCGGTCCTCTTCTTCCACACCATGCGCTACAAGGTGTCGGCCCCGAAGGACGCCTCGAGCGACCGCTTCGTCCTCTCCAAAGGTCACGCCGCCCCCATTCTCTACGCTGGTAAATTTCTTTTCCATCAAAAATTGCTTCGATGAATAAAATTCTAAAATTTGCAGCTTGGGCCGAGGCTGGGCTCTTTCCGGTGGCTGATCTGCAGAAGTTGAGGAAGATTGACAGTGACCTCGAGGGCCACCCCACTCCTCGTCTCAACTTCATCGATGTGGGCACTGGTTCCCTCGGCCAGGGTCTCTCTGTGGCCGCTGGAATGGCCTACGTTGGAAAGTTCTTCGACAAGGCTTCCTACAGGTATAAAAATATTTCTTAATATTTAGTTTTAATTTTTGATTTTAAGATTAATATTTGATTGAGTAATAAATTAATTTAATTTTCATCGACAGAACTTACTGCCTTCTTGGTGATGGTGAGAGCGCTGAAGGCTCTGTGTGGGAAGCGCTGCACTTCGCCAGTTACTACAAGCTGGACAACCTGTGCGTCATCTTCGATGTGAACCGTCTCGGCCAGTCCGAACCCACCTCTCTCCAGCACGACATGGAAACTTATCGCAAGAGGTTGGATGCTTTTGGCTTTAATGCCTTGGTTGTTGACGGACACGACGTTGAAGAACTGACGAAGGTAATTATTTGGAGATAAATGTTTTTTTTTTAATTAAGCAGATTTTGCAAATTTAAATTAAAGTTGTCGCAGTATCTTAGTTAAACACATTTTGTACTTGCCTCCAGGCTTTCCACGAGGCTTCCGTTACTAAGGGCAAGCCCACTGCCATCATTGCCAAGACCTTCAAGGGCAAGAACTTCCCCAACATCGAGGATTTGGAAAACTGGCACGGAAAGCCCCTTGGTGACAAATCTGCACCCACCATTCAGGTTAGTTTTAAAATAAAAAATAGCTTTTTATTTTCAACAAATTATAATTTTTCTGCAGCACCTCACTGGCTTGATCAAGAATGCTGGACCTCTTCAGCTGCACCCTCAGAAGCCCTTGGTCGAGGACGCCCCTGCCGTCAGTGTGAAAAACGTCACCCTGTCCTCGCCACCCAACTACAAATTGGGCCAGACCGTGGCAACCCGAGAGTCCTACGGAGTGGCCCTCGCCAAGCTGGCCGAGAGCAACAAGCACGTGATTGCTCTCGACGGAGACACCAAGAACTCTACCTTCTCTGATAAGATCAAGAAGGTCAGTGCACTCGATAAAATTGCTGAACGTATACAAAATTTATTTCCTCTGACAGGTTGCCCCTGAGCGCTATGTCGAGTGTTTCATCGCTGAGCAGAACCTTGTCGGCGTGGCCATTGGAGCTGCCTGCAGGGACAGAACCATTCCTTTCGTCTCGACCTTTGCTGTATTCCTCACAAGAGCCTTTGACCAGGTAATAGATTTAAATCATATCCCAATTTAAATATTCAGAAGTAAAATCTCTGAGCAAAATGTAATTTATTATATTTTTTTGTCATTAGATTCGTATGGGAGCAATTTCTCAGACCAACGTCAACTTTGCTGGCTCTCACTGTGGAGTCTCGATTGGAGAGGATGGCCCCAGCCAGATGGCCCTCGAGGACCTCGCCATGTTCCGCTCTATTCCAGGTACACCGACACAAAAATAATTTAATTTATAAAATTAAAAAAAAAATTGCTTTTAACAGGCTCTACTGTGTTTTATCCATCTGATGCTGTGAGCTGCGAGAGGGCCATTGAGCTTTCTGCTAACACCAAGGGAGTTTGCTTTGTCCGCACCTCCAGACCAGCCACTGCCGTCATTTATGCCAATGACACCGTCTTCCAGGTAAGCTTTTTCAATTGAAAAAAGCTTTAAAATTTTGAAAATTGTCAGCTGGAGTGATCTTTTTATCCTCTTTTTTTATATTACTTAAATATGAATTCATTTTTCTAAACAAAATAAATAAATACTGAATTTATATTTATTTTAGGCTGGTAAAGCTCATGTGGTGAAGAAATCAGCCAAGGACAGTGTGCTGTTGGTTGGTGCTGGTGTGACCCTGCACGAGGCCCTGAAGGCGGCGGAGACCCTGGAAAAAGAGGGTGTCCACGTCCGAGTGCTGGACCCGTTCACCATCAAGCCTCTCGACCAGGCCGCTTTGATCCAGAACGCTCTCGAGTGTGGTGGCAAGGTGGTCACCATCGAGGACCACTATCCCGAGGGAGGCCTCGGCGAGGCCATGCTGACCGCTTTGGCCGAACAGCCCGTCAAGGTCAAGGTGCTGGCCGTTCGGGAGGTTCCTCGCTCCGGTCCGCCCAACGCCCTGATTGAGAAGTACGGCATTGGTGCCAACAGCATTGTCGAGGCTGTCAAGGCCATCAGCAAATAGGTCCTTAAAGTCTTAACACTCAACCTGAAGTCATTCCATTTGTCATTCCTACTGCAAATCATACCTGTTGAAAGCATTTATCACTGAGGGCACAAAGAAAGCTTCGAGTCCCAGGGACACTTGATTTTGAAAATTTTGTTATCTCAATTGATGTAGTTTTTTTATGAAAGATAGAATTTATATCGTGCTGGCTTTTTGAAACAATAAAAAGGGATTTATTTACTATGAATAAATTATTTTTATTTCCATTGTCATATGGCTTGAAAATGAGAACAAGTATCGAATTTCTACATATTGGGCATTTTATTCAAAGCAATTGACAATTGTTTGAGGTTTGCTATAAGTTATCGGTTTTAACTGAAAACGTTTTCCAACAACCAATAATATTGTTTTATGGCGTTTGATTTGCTCTAAACTAAACATCAAATCTTTCAATATATTGATACACAAATTGGTTATACAACTGTTGTTCTTGTACATCAAATTATTATGCTGTTACTTTTGATACATTCCAAAAATTTCAACTTTCTGATATGTTGGGTGAATATATAAGGGGGAACGAGAAATTTATCCATACAGCCAATTTGTCTCTGCACACTGGATGATTTTTACTTTCGCATATATGAGATGATCAAACACTTCAATGCAATTAGCTTTAAATTAAATAGCCATTATTATAAAATAGAAAACAAAACAATTCTATGGACTGCTTAGCTAAAAACAAGTAGAAAATTAAATTTTTGAAAGCAATACTAATTCGTCACAAAGAACCTTTCCTCTGATTACTTTTGATTGAGCAAAATTAATTATCAACAATTAAATTGAGATCATAATTTGGAATCATCCTCCATCCAAGATAAATCAGATAACTAGTCAACAATGAAAAATATATATTTGTCGTATTTTGCTCTGCAATTGCACCGTAAATTACAAACATTCATCGTATTTTAGTAAATCTGCCGGGGAATGCGAGCTTGGGTTTTAATATTTAGGCTTCTTTTTGCGCACTGCAAGATTCCCCTCTCTTTACATTATACTTTGGTTTTCTAGAAAAATATCAGAGCATCGTTTAGAAAATTAAAAGATGTGCAGATCAACAAACATAGCGTCATTCAATATATATTGTATTACATTATTTCCCTCGCTTAAATTTATGCACTATTTCATAGATTACTACAATGATTCAATCTTTTGGTATTTTCCTATAATTTTACAAATATATTGTTCGCGTTTCCAAGATCACAAGTAACTATACTGTTTTGGTACAATGCTACGAAACGCGCGCGAATGCTTTTATTCCGTTAGAAGTTATTATTATCATATATATTATCATTTATTTATCTATCAATTAAAAGATTCGGTATCACTAGTTGATGTTTTAGCAATCATTCAGGACTGGGATTCGGTTGACGACGAACGAAGGGTCGCGTGACACCCTTGGCACACCCGAACGGGCTTAAGTATGCGCAATCGTGAAATTTCCGACTCGAACTTGCTGCACCTAGAGTTCAGAAAATTAAATGTAAAAATAAGAAGAATTAAAATTACGCTTACTTTGAGCAAAATAGCTGCCCGCAGTTTCTGCAGTGGTGTCGTCTTTCGTACAAACTGAACTTGACGCCGCAGCCGACGCAGCTCTCGGCGCCCTCGTCTTTCAACCAGTGGTCTGCACGACCCGGTTGCTCTGCCATGCTCCAGGAGAATACGCGGCCTCTCGCGTCTCCTACGTACATGGTACGGTGGTCCCTGAGATTTAAAAGAATTATTAATTCAAAAAAAAAATTAAAAAATAAATTGCAGCTAACTTCAGTTTTTTATTTGATGATCTAGAATTTGGTTATATTTTTGAAAATTAAAATTCTAGTTATATTTTTTAAATATGATCTTACTTCGATACAGCCAAACAAGTAATTGATGCTGGCTCCGCGTTGTCTTTTCTGTCGTAAGCGGTGTGCATGGTCAATTTACTCCTGAAAACCAATTGCCTCTGCCATTGGAAGCCTGTGAACAAGCCAATAAAAATTTATAATTCCCGTTTTTATGATTTCAATACAAATTTCCAACCTTCACGCAAAATGTTCTGCGTGTTCTTCTTCTTGTGAATTCCAACTTCAGAGGGTACTTCAGCTTCGTTCACCATTACAAAGGAGTCTGTTAAACTGGTGTCACTCTTGCTCGTCCTCATACTGTCGCCAGTGCAGGAGAGCAGATTGGGATTGTTGGCGTTCGTCTCGATGACGGGTCCTGGGTCATCGCGGCCCTCACTATCCGATCTAGTCCTGCCACTGAGACTCAACATGCTCGCCAACCTGCTGCCTTCACTCTTCCGGAAGGCAGGGTTGTTGTGCGAGGCACTTGGTCTTCGGCGCACCACTACCATCGACTCCTCAAAGCTGCCGCCCATCGGCTTGTTGCCATCCACCTCCTCAATGTCTATGTTTGGTACAGGCAACACCTCTTTGTCCTTGGCGTCATCCTCGTCTTCAGTGAGACTGCTCTCTGAGCCACTTTTGATCAGCACCATTCCGTTCTCCTCTGTGTATTCGCCGGACAGGCTCATCTGCTTTACAAACTGTTTGACTCTGTCCTCCGGCTGTTCCAAAATTTCCTCCTCTTTAGCGACAACCTTTTTCTTCTCCTGCTCGGTCGTTGGAACATCTGGCTGATCTACTATTGTTTCTTCCTTGGGCACCTGGACATAATCAATTGACCACATTCTAGCCACGCCGTCAGTTGACCCGGTCATGATGACGTTCTGCGGGTCCCACTCGTTGGCTTGAGAAAAGGCCACGCACAAAATCTGCTGCATTCGGTCTGCTCGGCCGACGCTCGTGTTGACGCACGCCAGCTGAACACCATTGATAGTCCACACGTGCAACCAGGTACCAGCACAGGTGGCAATGTCGCCTGTCACCTCGTTGACGGCAACGGCAGCCACTGGTGCAGAATGTCCCATGAGCTGACGGACAAACATGAGTCTTGAAAGATCCCAAATAATGGCGGTGGCGTCACGGGACCCAGACACAATTACATTGTACGCAGGACTGGCGGCTAAACACGTGACTGCTTCTGTATGTCCATATAGACTTTGTTTGACCTTCAGCTGTTTTTTCTTGTACTCCCAAACAGTGACTATTGTGCTCGTTCCAGCTGTGATCACCAGTTTTGCATTTGGACAGACGCAGGCGACGACCTCTCCATTCTGCGGTGCTTCGCAAACAAGGGCAGCTTTATCGTTGTCGTAATTGCCTATTCGTAGACTGTGATCCGCAAAACCCCAGGCGACGTACTTGGAGTAAGTAGGTGGCATAAGCGACTTGTTCTGCTCAACAGCCAGCACAAAGCGCTCGTGCTGTAGAATTTGACCCACTGGCGCTTTCAGTTCTTTGATTGGTGCAAGTGATGGTCGCAGATTGTCAAGTCCGTGGAAGAATAGGCCTGATGAGAGACTGACGGTAGGAAGGAGAGGTCCGGTGTCGAAGAGGGATGATGTTCGGTTTGAAGCTACTTTTTTTGCAGGGTGTGCTTTTTTGAAGAGCTGTTTTGGTATTTGGCCAAAATTGTTGATGAAGCCGATGGTAGCGTTTTTCTTGAGAGGATCGTCGATGTTGTAGATGTCAACGTTGCCCTCATAAAAGAGGTGATGAAAAACGTTTACGGCTTCAACAGCCCCAGGTCCTTGTTGCTTACACCCAAAGATAAGATCAATCCACTCGTGCATGTGAGCTGAAACGTACTCGCACTCCAATGCTTGTCGATGCACCCTGATAAACTCAAGGGGATCTTCTTTGGCCCAAGGCGGAAGAATTACATCATTTAGAAATACCCCGTTTTGTTTAGCACCAAGATCAAAGTTGTTGGAATTCAACATGAACTCTGGCAGATAGAAAAATTCTGGGATCAATTCTTTGACATCAGCCATGTTGTGTTTAGAAGCAGATGTCCAGGCCTCTTTGATGCTGTGAAACATGCGATCGGCCAAGTCAAAGTGGCCTCCTTGTAGGCGCAAAAAGTGCTGCGTAAAGGGCTCCATGCGAACCAGATAAGAGCAGACTATCATAGCCGAAGAGTAATGTGTTCCGTAATGATAAGGTGGCGTTTCACCATGCGGATCATCCCACTCTCTGTAGCGCTTCTTAAATTGTTCCAAACGATCACTGCTCTGAGCCCCCATTGGCTTTGAAAAATCTCTAAATGTTTTTGGGTTAGTCAGATCTAGTTCTTCTGAATCATAGTCAGCCAGAATCCATGGAAAGACTGGATACTGCATAAGGTCATTGTAACTCCTTCCCGCAAGCGTGTTCAAGTACATCAGATACTGGAAGTTGGAAATCTCGCCTCTGACCCATCGCTGGGTCACTGAAGTTTCACCAATCAAGCTGGACAAAATACTAGCAGTTTGTTCCACGCTGGCTGTTCGTTTTTGTCCAGCAACCGACTGGTGAGCGCTGTCGGCCATCGAGGTTGCAACAGTGGACAGCCGTTGATATACTTTGTTACGAACCTTTCTAGAAAAGGCGAGTAAGTAGTTCCTCCCGTCGCTGGAAAAAACTTCCAGAGCAATCGGCTGCAGAAGGTACCTCCTTAGGTGCACCTCTCTGATGTCTTCATACGAGAATTTTGAGCACTGACGCATTCTGCGTGACCTTCGAGGGCTGCCAGTGCTTGGTAGAATGGGCTCATACTGATTAGAGCGCGCGTTGTCCAGGTTGTCAATATCACAGATTTCTCTCGACTTTAAAATTGTGAAACCATCGATGACATATAGGTGCTCCTTACCAAACAGCAGAAGGCCCTCCGTTGTATCCAGGCCTTGAATCCTTGCGCACCTGAACATATGACTGACTTTTTCTTTGTCTTCTAACAACCGCATCAAAGTTTGATTGTCAGTCGCGTCATCTACCTGGCCACCGTGGTCATTATTTGGGTCCATCTCATTGTCTACGTTGTCTTCATCCTGCTCAGAGATGCTGCGATTCGGTCTCATTAGGGCACCGTGAAGACACTGGAATCCAATATCTTTAAAATCTTCATTCTCGTTGTCCATGGACTCCACACTCGCAGTGGAGAAAACGTCTGGCAGAGTCTCTTGTTGGTTATTATCTCTCTCGAACATGTTTTGAGGTTTGAAGCGTTGGTAGTACTCTCTGCTGTCATGGCTAGATGCCACCCTATATTTTATAGCCCTTACATCACTCATTTCCATTTCAGGTCTGTAGGGGTATTGCATGTAGAATAGGTCATTTCTCATCATCTTTTTCCTCATTCGACACGGACCTTCTGTCATGTCCAGCATCCACTTATCCAGCTTGCTGCCCTTCATTGGTCCCCAAAGACCTCTCTCGCGAGTCAACTCAGCCTCCGTTTTTAGCCACTCGTCTAGTAGGTATTGCTGCATGTGCTGACTCGTATCAACATGGTGCTTAAGCTGTGCCATCACAAGCTCCCTAACTAAAGCTATTTGGTTCAACACCTGATTGTTGATATCGTTCATCATAGCAGACGTGTATTTTATTTTGACAGCTTCATCTTTTTTCACTTTTGTCCTGCTAGCCAGGCGCGTCAGACCTCCAGTTACTTTTTGAATTTTCTGAAATCAAAAAATGATCCACAGTTAATTATTATTTTAAATATGAGGGAGTTTCAATAGCGACTAAGGGTCTCCGGGTATTCATTCGAGATATTTTCTCAACGGGGTAAGCATTAAGCCTGCGCTAAATCAAATCAGCTGGTCATACTCGCTGATCATTGGTATAAAGAACAGCTACCATGGGTTTATTATAGCGCAGGATTGATTAGAAAATTCGCCATCTGCCGAACTCAAGGTTCTGAGGTAATACGTTTAAGTGAATAATTTCGTAAATTACGCTTTCAGAGATTAATTTCAGGATCAAAAGCCTTAAATTGATATAAATGACAGCTTTCATAGCTTTATTATAGAAGAGGTTTGATTTGAAAATTCGCCATTTGCCAAACTCAAATTTATGAGCAAATCAGTTTAAGTGAATAGTTACGTACATATATATGAAAACATACAAAAAATTAAAATTTACGGACTCTTCTCTTTGGCATTTTTTTATGAAAGCATTTCTCTTGGAATATCTTTTATACTGGGAGAGCTAAGTCTATTGAATCTCTCCTTATTCATTTTCTTAAATTTTAAAGACTAAATTGAATTTAATAATTATAAATTTTGTAAATTTTTATTAATTGGTTGATTATAATTAAAATTTATGCTCACCGATTGAATTTGATTGTGGGACTCCCATGGGATCTTGAAAAAAGATTTTTTCTCCATCTCGATGTAAGCACTCCATGTTTTGTGTGCCGCCTCCAGAACATGTTCTCTGACTATCATCAAATGAGGTGCTTTGTCCTTGGGTGCTGGTAAAGTGATTTTGAAAATCTCTTCAATTGCAGGTTTTTTCGAAACATAGAGCTCTTCCCATACTCGCTTGGCCGCTACACTCATCAAATTCATGCCCTGGACCGTGTTCATCGCGGTTTCTTCTGCTGAATTTGGCCTCTCGTTCGGATTTACAACCCAGGTTGTCCTTGCAGTAACGTCAGCGTTAATTTTTAGATCAGAAGTGAGCTGCAGCAGGCAAAACGTGAGGCAGCCAAAGAATTCTAGTTCGTGGTTTCCTGCACCAAACACTAAATTGCGGTGACTTGTAATTTTGTGCAATGTGTCCAGCACAGACATTTGCTCAGCAATTGCGTTCGTAGAACGAGACAACAAATAAAGAATTGTTCTGTTTAGGCAATGATATATTCCTTCAGTTGACACTGTGGCCATGGTTGCTGGTCTTCTCTTTGCTTGAGCGATCAGTTTTATAACAAATTCAAAAACATCGTGAGGGTCTCTGGTAAACGAGCCCTGCCACATCTTGTCCACAATTCTGCCTGCTAGATAATATACATTCGGAGCCAAATTTTGAATACTGCCTCCGGGCACCACTGGTAGCGCAGCTTGTTCTCCGATAAGGACGTCTGCAGCCAGTAGATGCTCCATTAGGATGGCCAAGAGCTCGGTTTGGAAAATGCTCTGTTGAACTGAGCTGCATTTATCTGGAGAAGCTTCTAATATAATATCTATTGTTGGAGGTCCCTTTCCAGAAACGGGCAATGAAAGTGAGTCAACGATTATGACGCGAAGAAAGTCCATCACAAATTTCTTTGCTGGATGCGTGGTTAAAGCCATGTCTTTGGAGGGTGACCTGGTCATTGGTGAGTGGCTACTGTTTTTTGTTTTCACGTCTTCCATTGGTGTTGACGATCCGCTGGAAACTTCACTGCCTTGTCTAGGAAACAGAGTGGAAGCCAAAGCTAGAAGGACGTCTGCACTCATAAAAATGGGCATGAAGTCCGCCATATTTTGGTACAGGAAATATAGAAATTGGATTATGGTGACTGGGTAGTCTCTAAGCCATTCTGGTAAACCCTCAGGTTTTCGAAGTTCATGGTTAAGCATGGCACGAACCATTGCCAGGAGAGCGATAACAGCCTCAGCGCAAAGAGTGACTCGTCCGGCTAAGCTGGTGACAGACTGGCTCGCAGGGACTCCGAACATGAAATTCCATATAGAGTCAAGGTTCAGTTTCAAGTCAGCGGGAAGCAGTCGCACTGGTTGGCCCATCACCAATGCCACTAGTAAAAAGTAAACTTCTGGAATAGCGATATGCTGCGGCATAATCCATTCGAGTCGCTGAAAGCCGTGCACATTAGAGAGGTCAGTCAGTTTTGGACTTTGAGGGCCTGATTTGTTCAACGGAGACCCAATTTGATAGCCCGCCAACATTCCTATTTGATTGTTAACCGATTCGGTTTCTTTCAACCAGCCTCCATTGTGAGTTCCGTCTCTAAAACGTTGAATTAAATTTGGGCAGGAGTTCAGCACAACTAAAATCCTAAGACCCCAAACAACTGTCGTTGGGTGCAGATGGCCCTGGAGGAAAAGTAGTACCCAGTCAAAGCCGAGAGTTTTGGTCACTTCGTCACAGAAGCTCATACATACTTTGTTATTTAGGAAAAGCAGTGAGTGTAAAATTTGCAGACATTTGTTTCGCAGTATTATGTTGGCTAAAATATCATTTAGCTCATTGTCATTGTTCTCAAACTGGACGTCAGTCAAGGTCAAAAGTTTTTCTGTGGGAGCATTTGCGACAGACAACGTTGATGCCATTGCTTGACCAAAAACCAATAGGTCGTGTGGTCTTGGACTGTTGGCTAGCAGAGCTGCAATCAATGACAATAGGCACTGGTTGTAGTTGTTGTTTGGTGCAGCTGTCAAAAGTATCCTGAGCAATTTAGGCAGTAGATTTAGTTCCCTCGCAATTTTCAGGTTTGTTTTCTTCTCGCTTGACTCCGCAATAAGCTCCAAGTGGTGCTCGAATAGAGAGCGGGTAAGGTCACCTGGCGCTTCGTACCATACGTCTAAATCTCCTAGCAAATCTCTATAAGCAGCCACATTTGGAATAGATGAGCTTTCTCGTCCGCTATCTACTGTGCCGACTAAACTGAAGGCCAAGTGTAGAATATGTGAATTTAGCAATGGCTTTTTCCTTCTCAGAAGTGTGGCCAACATTTGATATCCTCTTTTTCTATCCATCTCTTGCTGTGATGACTGGCTGCTTTTCACAACGCACACGAGCGCTTTTACCGCGGCATAGAGGCTTTCAACATCTTTTGCCATTGCAATTAAGCCCAACAGCACATTGCATCCACCAACACTCTCAACCATTTTGGCCACAGGACGAGGTGAAAATACTCTGACGCCCAAGTAGCCTATCACCACTCCTCCAAGCGTCCTTGCAGGTCCTGAGAGATGACCAGCCGAGTTGTGCAGTACTCTTATTGGTGTAGCGTTTTCGTGCGATGACATTCCGAGTTGTTTAGCAATTGCACGATTGTCGGCCCTGCTGTAGACTTTCCTTATTTTTGCAAGCGTTAACTGCGAGACTGCTTTCGAGTTCAGGCCAAACATCAACTTTTCCTCAGCGATCAAAGGAGCATGAGACTCTGAATGGTTAATTTCAGGTGCCTGCAAACTCCCCATGTATTGAGGCCCTAACCTGTGTATAATAGAAATCATTTGAGGGCTAAGAACTTCTTCAATTAATTGACAAGGTCCCTGTTTCCAAGATAATCTTGAGTACTTTCTCCAGGACGGTGGTGTTCCAATGAAGCCGTAAACGGACGAAGGCACGTGCAAGTTTGCCGAGCCGCCACCTGGATTTTGTGCAATATAATGCATTTTTTGTGTGTGAATATGCTGGCCGTCAACGAAAATTGAGAATGATGAGTTTTTTGCTGACTGTCGATTGATAGCAAGCACAATATGGTGCCACTGGCCTTCTTGCAGCAAGTCAGGGCACCAGACTCGAGAGCTTCCGTCACCGCAAACGTCCGGTTCCCATTCACCAACATTGTGAGGAACAGAGATTTCCTGTGTGCTTACTATAATTGCTTTGTCCCGCGCTGACAAAACAAATGTCAAACACGCCAATGGATCTTCTTTTCCAAAAATGTGCCTCACGATTGTAAGCAGCCGAACACAGTGTGGATCTGTACGTGGGTCTGAATACTTGTCTACACACATCCACGTTGAAAACGTGAGTCCTGCTGCTGGGGGAAAAATCCGATCTCCGGCGCCAATACCTCCAACCACGTTAATGTCCTGTTGGCCTCCAGAAGTTACTGCACCCTGGATATTTGAAGATTGTGGTGCCAAACTTGGTAAAAAGAGGCATCCGAACCCTTCTGCACTCATGTCAAATTCAACGAATGGAGGCAATATTGAGGCGCCGTGTAGTCTGAAATCCCTAGGTGTCGTCATGGATACGAGTGTTTTTATTCTTGTCAAAGGAACGGGGCCGCCGGGCTTCCGGTGAGAGGGTTTCCGAGAGTTCACTGCTTCAAAATCTTCTATTGCTAGAGTATTCAAAGGTTCACCTAAACGGAGAAATGACCTTAAATCTTTAGCCTCAAGCGTTTGAGCGGCCAGCCTTTCAAGCATGTACTGTACTGAAGGGTGTAGTGGGTGCGTTTCCTCCTCCAGGGCAACAGCACAGCACCTTAAAAGTTCGCCAGGCATTCCAGCTTCACACATAACTTGCTGATTCCTCTCAGACCGAACCAGCGATTTGAGAACCTCGGAGCAAAAAACTTGTAACGTTAGTGATTGATATACATCTTGACACTGTATTGAAGGCAACAGGTGAAGCATGGCAACAACTACTCCAGGATGAACGATGATAGGGTCCGAGGGTGGTGGTGTTAAATTTAAATTCGCCACATTTTTCTTCGCTGAATGAGAATTTTCAACATGGCGTCTGGGGGATCGTATTGCGATGCTGGCAATGTTCGCGTGTGAATTGTTCGAGACTTTGTCGTATAAATCAAGGGCCAAGTCGTAAAGCATGCGTAGCAAAATAGTTGCGTGTGTCAGGTCTCGCGGAATGTTATCATCTACTGCTGGGTTCAGAACGTTGCCTGTAAAGACTTTTTGAAATATGCTTTCGTCCTTTTGATTTGGTGATGGTAAATCTTCAGATGTTTCTGGAATTGTTTTTTGACTAGAAAAGCAGCCGAGCAATCGGATGCTATCACACAATGTACTAAAACAAATTTCTTGCTGGAAAAATTTTGCATTTGCTGGTTCAAACCTCATTGCAACCGAAACTGTGTTAAAAACAAGATGTAGCAAAGAGAGCACCTCGGAAACTTTGATTCCCCTCCAAAGATCCGCTGGCTGGTTCTGCAGACTTCCTTCCATCGATACAAGCACACTCATCACATAAACAAAGCCACCCACTTTTCTGAAGACCGTCCGAGTCCTGTGACTTTCTCGTAGACATGTCAGAAGGGATTTGAGAATATCTGATTTTAGTTCGAGGTTTGAATGTGGCGCCGAGTGCATAGTGGCCAGTAAAATTCCCAGATCTTCATCACCACCGGTCGTCAGGATCAATTCCTTAACCATTGTCAAGGCTTCTTGCCTGCAATCTTTGAACTGCACCAAGTTGTGCACACATTTGGCCCCTCCACTCTCTCTAAATACTGCTGCATTGTTTGCGTTTCCACTTAAAAGTGTGATGAGAGCCTCTATCGTCATGATACCCAGGGTTATCTGCTCCTCGGACAGTGCCGATTTGTCTCCTGATGCATCCCTGATGAGAGCTGCGTACCTTTCAAGGCAGGTGGCGAACACTTCTAGCAGGCCCACTTCTCTGTAGACGTCCTTGAAAACAATGTTGTGCTTCAAAATGTCTTTAAGCGTTTGCATGCACGTGATGCTGCAGGGAATGGAATACTGGTCGCGAAGAATGATTGAGAGAGAAATGAGTTCTTTGCAAGGTACAAAATTGAGCTGGAAAACTATAAACTCGAGCAGGTGGAAAAACTTCTCCTGAATTTCCATCGGCTTAAGGTGAATTTTTTCAGCAAACTGCGGCAGTGTGTTTTGGCCCTCTAGGATGAAGTAATTGGCATTGTCTGCGTGGTACACGCTAGAGATGGCATCCAGTATGGTACAGCACAAATTGGATGAAGTGGCCTTTAAGAAGACGGACTGCAGCACCTGGAAGGCTTGAATATTCCGAACACTGGCACCTCGTCCTGCCGGCTGTGGCAGCAAAAAGCCCATGATTCGAAACAAGGAGCCAACGCTGGCCTGGCTCGGTTGCAGCTCATTGTGGCCACACATTGTGAGCGACGCTAACAGGAGGACTAGGTTCCGAATGGCGTCCTGGTTCTCCTTTGCTTCGTCCTGCTCGAGCTTCAAGAGAAACTCGGAAATGAATTGATATCCCTGACACGACTTGAAGTCGTCCAACAATGATTGAGCAACCTCGCTCGAGTCTTTGAGAAAACAGAAAACGGTCACAAACATCTCGACTACCTCCAAGGGGGATAATTCGGTCACCCGTTGCATGTTATCTATGCATAGGGAAATACAGCCTTTGCTATGGATGTAGGCAACCACCTGCTGGCTGAGCCCATGCCTCGATATTGTCATCAAAACCTCAGCTGCGCTTTTCCTCCACACTGCATTGTGCGCCGGACACCAGCTCGTGATGGCGGAGAACAAGAGGGCCAGGTCGTCCTTCCTGGCCAGTTCTTCGGCGGGCGGAGGGTGACTGCACAATCTTACCAACAGCTGCACAAAAATTTTCTGCAGCAACACACGTCTCTCACAAGGGGTGAATTCGCTGCCTGGCTCACTCACATTTTCATTCTCCATCTCGGGCAGGTCAAAAAAGAGGTACAGGCATTTAACCAATGTTGAGGGTAGCGCAGCCACAGTCATCGCCTGGGGAGTTTAAATATGTACTTTTTACTCTAATTATCCAAAAAAAAGTTAATAAACGGCAGGATAGAGATATATAATTAGAAGTAAAGACAAACGTTTATGAGTGACGTGTTAAATTGATTGACGGTAAAATTCGCTAGTTGTTTTTAAAATAAATTTATAAATCCCTCTGATCTTAATTATCTTATAATATAATACATAGTTTCTTTTTTATTTCACGCAACTGATTATATTTTTGTGTCTATATTGCAAACCTGAATCAACGACAATTCTCCTTCCGCCAATAAATTCAGTGCAGTTAATAGCATCCATCCGTTGCTTGTGTTTTCAGAGTTTTCTATCTCCAAGAACTTGGCAATGGCACAGCTGGCGCTCTCCGTCGATTGGTTTGATGCTCGCTTCCTGATCTCCGAAACCATCAGCTTCGAAACGTAAGTACAGAATGTATGCACGTCTCGAAATTTTTCCACCATCTCGTGCGATGAGCAAGTCCCAAAAACCTGAAATCAAGTCATATTAGTCCGAAAATTAAAAATTTTTTAAACATTTTAATTTTATTTTTTCAAAAACACACACACAAGACTTAACATGCAACAAGCAAAAGAAACTTATCAATATAAATTCTTATTTTTCTCGTTGATGCATTTGAAGGATTAAAATAAAATTCGCCAGGCCAAATAATGTATTTAGCTTTTTTAAGATATCTAGATTTTAAGTTAATATATTACTAACGAAGTTTTAAAATTGATATAAAAAATTGCATAAAAAGTAAATAAAATATTAAAATTTTTGCTTTTTTAATTCAATTAATTAGACGGAAAAAATATTTGATTTGAAGAGTCCATATTTTCAACTAATTAAAATAACTCTTTATTTTCATAATAATTCCGTTTTTATAAATTACCAAAATATTTTTTTATTGATAAATTAAGTGCTTATTTTTTTCGCACCTTGCAAAACAATGGGAGCATGTTGTAAAGCTTGTCGTCCCGTTCCTTTTCGTTCAAAGGGTGGCTGGGGTGAATGAACTCCGAAAAGAGTTTCTTCAGGTGCATCAGTCCCAGTGCCATGTGTTGCTGCGAATTCTGATTCGGGTCGTCCTTCTGGGCTGCTGAGGCCGTCGTGGAGGCGGACGAACCGCCCCCGACACGGGCCAACTTTCGCATGATATTCATGATGCGGGCGATCTGCAAATTGGCGCCTCATTAGAAACGTGTTTATTTTTTCTTATCATTTGACAGTCCGCGCGCCACCAAAATATAAACAGAACGCGAGTCAAACGCCGCTTCGAGAACTGTCAAAAGAACATGCAAAGGCAAAGCGCCAACGAAAATCAATAAACACACAAACAGAGCGCCTTTTCACACCCCAGCCCGCCTCCAATTGCCACAATCGGGGCCGGCCCTGCTTGAACTCTGATTGTCCTCGACCCCGAACGACGTTCAGAAAGTTAAAAGAGTCCCCAAAAAGAAAAACAAGAAATTTTGACAGCCCGTTTCGGAAAACATCTGATCGGCCAACCCATCTGCGGACTGGGTTTGGCTCGGCGCCGCCACCTCCGACGGCTCTCACCTCTGTTCAGACGCCGCTCATGTCATTTCGCCGGCGCCCTCCGAGGCCCTGAACGTCCACGGACGGCCACCTTCAAGAGAATCCGCAATATTCAACGCCCACTTTACACAAATTGCCACTCATATGAGGCCATTTTCTACTTCAAGTCCATACGGGGCTTACTGCTGTGGGTCTAGGCAGAGCGCATGCTTCGACGAGTTGAGGCCTGCACGAGACGGATATTTTTTTTAATATTTTGAACTACCGTCAAATTTATTTTTTACTAATTCAAAGTTATCTCATAATATATTAATATAAAATTGAAGTTACAACAAGAAATTTAAAATGAATTAAATGAAATTAATCGTTTTGATATTTAAAGTTGCTCTAAACGAATCCGATTTTTGTAATTTGCTTAAAAATGTCAAATATGAAAACTATGGGATTTTTATCTTTAAAGAATTATGTGTCATTTAAAGATTTTTCAATATTTTTATCCATTTTTATTCTTAAAAAAAAATCCTTGTATAAAGAACCTAATTATGTAATTTTTAAATAACGTTTTCCATTTTGGAATTATAAATCATGAAATATATCCTTATTATGTATGTAAAATTTAAAAAAAAAATCATACTTTAATGATATTAATTGCTTACTTTTTAAGTCACATATTTAAAAGTCATCTCGTTATTTCACGCAAAATTTACATTCAAAATATATTTCTGCTGAGATTTCGAATAAACTTGCAACAAGAAAATTTTGCACAGTTACAGTCGGCGTCAATTTTGTATTATTTACTTTTATTGTTGTTGATTTGTACAAATTTTTACTTCAGACTGTTTATATTTAATTGTTGAAAACAATTATTTGAAAGGAATTGTTGAACAAAACAGCACCAACACCAACAAGAATTTTGCTAAGCTTCCAAAATCAAAAAGACCCCATCCGCCGCAGCGAGCTTCGATTGACTTTACTTTCAAATCATTTTTATAGTTGCTATCTCCTCCATCCTATACTAACGATGCCACTTATTTCCCTGCAATTCCGGATTGGTGGGAAAAAGTTGATATTTTAATTTAATGAAAGAATTAAAATTATATTTTTACTATTAATTGATTCAAAATTTTAAATCGAATTGAAAAAAGGGCGGACAATTATTTGGTCTCTAGTCTTGAAAAATATTGTGCTTAGTAAATATTTGATTGATTATTGTTAATTTTTTTGGTTTTTTAAGAAAATTTCAAAATCAATCTTGGAAAACCAATTAATCAAAATTCCCGTATTAATTGCAAGGTTTTTAAACAAAATTCATGTACATCCAGTCCGGCCCTGCGCACCTCTCCTGATTATTGATTGAAATAAAAAGAACGGTTAATGACGCTCGGGTTTAATTACAACAGTGCGAAGGGAAAAGGAATCAATACAAAAGCAGCTTCATTATTCCTCCAACACAGACTGCTTTATTATTTTTGTAAAATATAAGCGATTTGCAGACACACTCTTGTAGTGCGGGATGAACACAGACAGACAGACAGAAAAACAAGTAGTTAGACACGTAGCTCAAAAATGCAATCTTACAAATAGAGTCCGCGGGCGCAACAAACACGTGTTGATTTCAGAGTTATGATTATCATATTGTCAAAGTTATATACAAATCCGAACGGCTGGGAACGTGAGACTTGTTAAATCTGCAGATGTATAAAAACTTTTATACATTTGATTTGATTTGTTCTCCATCTCGGCACAAAACATCAAAGATAGGACGCGTTATTAAATTTGATTTCCAAACAAAACTGATATAATTTACGTGCATTGCGGACACTGCATTTTTTTTCAGCAGAATTGTTTGTTTATAGAACAGCTGAAGTCACTGCTTGTGCTACTGATTACTTTAATTAATACACTTATGAACAGCCAGAGGTTTTTCGATATGAACCAGCATTATTCCAAATAAAACTTTTTTATATATTATTTTGAAACGTCCAAACTTCCATTTTTAATTTATCATTTCGGAGCTAAATAATTACATTTTTCCGAATTGGAGGGAGTCAAATTTCATTACGCACCTTAACAAAAATATCCAAATTTTTCATTGTAAATTAAAATTTCTTCAAAACTTTTCATTGGAATAACACTTTTTTCCTCAAATATTCTTCTTATTTGTTTAATTAACGACATCTTTGTCCTCTCTCTTGCAACACTTATTTTAATTCTAATAAATTATATCTTATGGAAACGTCTTACAATCTACAGAAGCCAGGAATTTCAGAGCTAAAAAGACTATTATGAAAAAGCTCTGCGTCCACATTTATCTTATGATAGAAACGATTTTTCACTTTATTGCTACAGAAGGATGTGGGAACATCGTTAATTTGTCGTCAAGATTCAACTCTATTATTTTAAAACAGCTTAGTTATTTTTTTTTTGTCATTATACAATTTATTATTCTGCTTTAAATACGTTTCTCTTTCTTTTTATTTGCCATTCAGGTATGGATCCAGAGCCGGATGTTTTTTATTTTGCCTCGGTCTAAATGAAGAATACACAAATTCTAAAATACTTGTTTGCACAATAATTAGAATATTAGGCCCTGGTATTTTTGATTTTAGTCGACACTTCAGCAGACATGCTCCTGGTTTAAAATAATACCCAATCAAGGGATTTTGCGATTACTCATGACTATTGAAAGTTTTTTTTCTCTCCGTCTAGTGACTTATTGTGTATCAATTGATTAGAATCTGTTGTTTCTTGAATTAATCGCAATTCTATTTGGTTTAGTTCATAATTTTGATTGTCCTTGGGAACGGGAAAACTGAACATTTTTCTGCAAGCTCTGCTGGTCTAAATATTTCCCCGATTTTGATTCGTCGTGTTTTCGCGAATCTTACATTGGGGCAGGGGTTTTGTTGCTGGGCTTAGAGACGAGAAACACATTTTAATGGTCAATTAGGGTCGTATATCACAGAGAGGATTATATATGAAATACAATGCAGCGCGCTAGTATAGTGCTTGTGCCACTTGACACCCGTCTTGCCTTTGGTTTGCTTTGATTTCGCTGCCTTTTTGTCGTGTTTATGTATCGCGTACTTTCGAAAAATGATGCACTGCTTTTTTGGCACTAATAAATGGCAAGAAAAATACTTCCACTTACTTGCAATTTCTTTCTGATCTACTACTTTCTGGAAAGTATCAAATGAAGATTTAAAAATTGATACAATGATTTCCATTTTTAATATAAAAGAAATTTAATTTTTATAGGAATTCTGAAGCGTATGAAAAGATAAATGGTGATAAGCATAATACAAAATAAAAATGCTAAAAATGTGAATAAGTTTCAAGTTAATATTAATAATTTTAATAATTTAAATAAATATTAATCCCCCTTTCTTCTGGATGCATGCGAAATTTGAACTTTTTTCATAACTCCAATTTTTAATAAATAAATTTTGAGAGGAGAAATTGCATCAATAACAAAATATTAACAATAAGCTGCGCTCCCATTCTCTCAATCACTCTAGATTGTACATCGATTAATTTATCGTCAGTGCCTCCGACCACGATCTCAGGAATAAAATTTATTCTTGATTCACCCGCGCGGGGGTCGGCGCACGTCAAGCGTTTTTTAATTTTTTTTTTCAATTTCACCACGGGTCGTCTCGGGAAAGTCAAAGTCCTAGCTATTTGACGAACAAATCCTTCAGCGTCGAGCAAATTGAGGAGGAGCCGCCGGACGAACTCTGCTCCTTTTCGGCTCCCTTGGCCTCGGCCTCCTTGTCCTCGGGGGCGGGAATCCCCTCAGGGTCGCTGCCCCTGCGCAGGAAGTCCTCGATGGCGCTGCCCAAAATGTGTGCGTCGACCACGGAGCCGCTCGGCCTGTCCCAGACGAGCCTCTTGGCCGTCTCGACGCAGCTCTGACTGCGTTTGGATCGGCCTGCCTTGACCTCCGTGACCTCGGTGACCTCCTCGGGGGCGGTGAAGGTCACCTTGGGCGTTTCTGGCTTGGAGGCGACCTCTTCCTTCTTCGCCATGGGCTGGTGCCGCTTGGCGAACCAAGAGGTCGGGCTGACCTTGCTCGACTTCTGGGTGGCGCCGCCAGCGGCGTCGCCGTCGGCGCCGTCATCCTGCTGCAGGATGGCCATGTCGAAGCTGCTGGAACGCGAATCCTTGAGGCGCGACCGCTTCTCGGCGTGCGACTCCTCCTCGGACGCCGTCTTGGCCGCCACCTTATCGTCGGCGCCGGTGTTGATTTCCTGCGCCGACGACGTCAGCGACAACAGACTCTTGAGGTCCGAGTTGGTGCACACGATGCCGGCGGCGCCGGGCCCAACCACGCACAGCTGCTCGGACGATTTGCGCTTCGGCTGCACGGCCAGTGAGGGCACCAGACTGGCGAGACCGGCCGCCTCCGAGTGCCTGCGCACCTCCATCGCCGGCGTCCGTAGAGTTCCGGTGCACACCATGCTCTGGAAGCGCACTGGCGAACCACACGTGCCGCTCTCCTCTATCTGAAAAATGGAAAATAAATTACATTTTGGTTCAAAAATTTGTTATGATTTAATGAAAGAAGGGAAATGATGAATACAATTTTATCATTGGGAATTCTACATTAATTTTTAACAGATAAGTTAATTGAATATAATCAATTATATTAAAATATTTGTTTGGCCTAAAACATGGAAATTTTTGGAAAAGTAAGAAGATAATTTTAATTGTAAAATTGGCGCCGATACCATTTAGCTCAATTTTATTGTCTTAAAATTTTTGAGTTATAAAATTTAATTTTACGTTTAAAAACGTTTCCTTTCTAGAATTTGAGTTATGAGGTTTCAGCACTACAAGAAACTTTGAAATACTGATTAAGAAATACAAACTGTCTTGAAAAATTGTTTATCCATAAATCATGAACGGCTGATAAAGTTCAGCAAGCTCGTGAAATAAATTTGTCTTATATTTCGTTAATTTTTAGGCCTTAAATTTGAAGATATTTTTTCATTTCCTATACTCATATTTTTTTATTAAATTTTCTTTCAAATAGTTCGTTATTTTAATTGAAAATATTCAATGAAATCTGTAATTTCCCAAATTTTGGGTGAAATTTTCAAAAATTTGCAACACCTGTGTGGTGTGAAATAGGTGATTTTTCTCTCAGCATTCTGTTATCAAGAAAATCTACGTTTTTTTAGTTTTTTACACATCTTCCATTTTAGTACAAAAAAGATATTTAGGTGATCACCTTTTTCCCCCACCACTTGAAGATGAGGATAAAAGGAAAGGGTCTTCATTGAACCTTTTAGTTCTCAAATTGAATTAATTGTAATTGCAATTTTTTTTATCTGCTCGTCAATGTGAGCAGTAAAAGTTAAAATTAACAATCAAAATTTTAATTTATTCTATAAAATCTAAGTATAATTTAATTATTATTGATGAATAGTAAATTAAAACTCTCTCACCTCGCAAACCTGCTCCCTGCTGTCAGTCTTGTAGATTTTCATCTTGGCCTTTCGCGCGCCCTTGATTTCGGCGATGTCGTCCATGATGTCCAGGTGCAGATTGAAGCTGGACGAGTCGCGCCTGGCGACGGGGAACGCGGCGAACGACTCCCTGCGTCCACGGTTGAAGATGCCCGTCGGCGGGAACTTGGAGATGGTGACCGAGTGTCTGCGTCCAGGGGTCGGGTTGGTGGTCAGCGTGGCGAGGAAGGCGGTCTCCTTGGCGATTTCCGACTGTCTGCCCTCGGACAGCCGGCGCACCTGGCTCGCCGTGATGCCTGAAGTGCACGACGGCGTCGGCAGACTGCGCTTCCGCATGTCCCGAGCGTCACGCCACGGACACAGGAAGGCGGGGTCGGTCGTGTCGTCGTCATAGTCCTCGTCGGACGGCGCGTTGTCCGAACCGCCGACTGCGCCCTCAAGCTCTTTTTCGTCGTCCTCCTTGATCGCCTCCTCCACCACAATCAGTGGCTCGGGCGTGTACGAAGACCGACGCATTTCACAGGTGACAATTTTCCTGCAACAAACCAAAAAGATACTTTAGCATTAAACAGATCATTAGGAATAATTGTAAATATTGCAAATTTGTATGTTGAATAATTTTTTTTACTAAAAAGCTTCTTTTTTTTAAACAAATGACCCAGCTCGGTCGGTTCTTTAGATGATTATTTGCTAACAGGCGGTGTAATTTGTTTTTGAAATTTTGAGATAAAACTGCAGTGGGATAAGCAATCGGCAACAGCATGTCTCAATCTCTCTTGTTATATCTTTTATCCATGGAGTATTTATACTTTGGTAATGAAGCGTTCAGGACCGAGAAGCTTCCATCCTTGATCAACATGAAGTTGTTCTCGGTGGTTGTAATAATTTACTTATGTTCGGCGGTTGTTAATTGCTACAGTGTGAACCAGCAACTTTTCAAAAGGGTAAATAATCTTATATTAGTCAAATATAATATATTTTTTTTTTAGGGTCAGGCCAAGACAAGGTCTTGTCGGCAGCCTGTGCCCTTTTTAGTGGCGCAGAAGGCGCCACTCAATTTTGTCTTTTTATCTTATTCTACCGCGGCGGCCGAGTCTCTTTTGATATCGGGTGTTTTATGCAGATATCTGCTAGTTCATTTTTTCAATTAAAATTTGTTTGTATTGACGAAGAAGAATAAAGTAATAAATATTTAATTAAATAAATAGAAAATCAAGAACCAGTCGAAAATTTATTGTATCATCATAGCGTGATATTGGTATAATAAATTTAATTTATTGTATCATGGTACTATTTTTGTTATAATAATATCAAAATTGATATAACAATGGACCAATGGTATTTTAAAACTTGGATTCATAATTTATTACAAAAGAAATCAATTATTTGGTACTCAGGGAATATATAAAGATTCAATTCAGATTTTAACGAAAAGGTGACTTGGCGCAGTTGGTTAGGGAATGTGAAATTCTCAAGTTCGAATTCCCTGGATGACTCATTATATCAATTATTATATCAACACTTTGATATAATATTGATGTTAATTTAGATCAATGTTGGTACCATTATTAATATAATATAATTTCAATTGGGCATCGATTTTAGCAAGGTCAAGGGCAAGGACAAGGTCAGACTACGACGACGACGACAACTACCACCACCACCACCACCACCACAACAACAACAACTACGACTAGACCAACCACAACCACGACTACACCAACTACGACCACCACCACGCCTACTACAACTACGACGACACCAACCACGACGACCACCACGCCTACTACAACTACGACGACACCAACCACGACCACCACCACGCCTACTACAACTACGACGACACCAACCACGACCACCACCACGCCTACTACAACTACGACGACACCAACCACCACCACAACAACAACTACGACTAGACCAACTACAACCACGACTACACCGACCACCACCACCACCACGCCTACTACAACTACGACGACACCAACCACGACCACCACCACGCCTACTACAACTACGACGACACCAACCACGACCACCACCACGCCTACTACAACTACGACTACACCGACCACGACCACCACCACGCCTACTACAACTACGACGACACCAACCACCACCACCACCACGCCTACTACAACTACGACGACACCAACCACCACCACCACCACGCCTACTACAACTACGACTACACCAACCACGACCACCACCACGCCTACTACAACTACGACTACACCAACCACGACCACCACCACGCCTACTACAACTACGACGACACCAACCACGACCACCACCACGCCTACTACAACTACGACGACACCAACCACGACCACCACCACGCCTACTACAACTACGACGACACCAACCACCACCACCACCACGCCTACTACAACTACGACGACACCAACCACGACCACCACCACGCCTACTACAACTACGACGACACCAACCACCACCACGCCTACTACAACTACGACGACACCAACCACCACCACGCCTACTACAACTACGACGACACCAACCACCACAACCACCACGCCTACTACAACGACGACGACACCAACCACCACCACCACCACGCCAACCACTACAACTCCCAATAATAATGGTAATGGAAATGGTAATGGAAATAATGGCAATGGAAATAATGGCAATGGAAATGGTAATTCGGGAACAACAACCACCACCACAACCACAACTACGACTACGCCAACTACGACTATAGCAACTACAACTACGACTACACCAACCACGACCACCACCACGCCTACTACAACTACGACGACACCAACAACGACCACCACCACACCTACTACAACTACGACTACACCAACCACAACTACCACTACACCAACTACAACCACCACCACGCCGACTACAACTACGACCATACCAACCACAACTACAACTACAGAAGCTACTTCAACAACTTCAACAGAATCACCAACCGTGAAACCCACGAAGAAATGTAGTTGGATAAAATTAGCAAAAAAGACAATGTGTGAGCTAGAATTTAATGGATGTGGAAAGGTAAAATGTTCCAATGTTAATAAGTCGTCAAATGAGAGCTAGCTAAAAAAAATTCACGCTAGAAATTATATCTCTTTTTTGCTCCGGTATTTCAGCTATTAACACCACTTATTAATAATAAATATTATATCAAAAATTGAAAACCACTTCACCCCTATTTCTTTTAATTTCATTCAAACCCATGTGGTGGCTGTTAATATAGCCGCCACATTTATATTCAAATAAGACGTAATTAATCAACTTATGTCCTAATTGTAAAGTTCAAAAATTGCTTCGAGTGGAAAAAAATGGTTAGAAAATTTAATGTGGTGATATTTTTTTTTAACTTGGAAGAAATTAATAAATCTTTGTATAAAAAAATGACAAAATCAATGAATTGAGGCTTAAGCCGTCAATGAAAAAAATTAAAATAATATATATATTTAATAGACAAAGAACGTTATGCAAGAGCATTACTAATGCTTTTCCTGAATCTTGAATATCATCTTAGAGCGTGGCGTATAAGTAAAAACTTATTAGGAAATATTCCCTCACACTAACATTATATTTAATGATTTTACTTGAAATCTAAAAAATGAAGCATAATAATAATTGAGGCGCACACTTGAAATTGTCAAGAAATTATGTCTTCACAAATTAGGGAAGTACACTTTTCAGGTGACACGACTCGAAAAAAAAAATAGCAGATGTTTAGCCGGTTTTTTGTCATGTGGTGGGCGATAAAAAAATTAAAATGGTTTATTTTTTATTTAAAATTAAACGCCTTTTCTAGGGTTCTGAACCCACCTGTTTGCATGATTAAAAATAGCGTCGTCGAAAATTGCACCACTGGACTGGCCGACAAGCAAAGTGAGTCGCTCGTACTATAAAAGGGATCTTCTCTTCCTCTCTCTATCGTCGCCCTTCAATTTGGACCGCTGCCTTTGGTGCTCACAGTGTGTTTATACAGTCTGGCTGCGCTGCCTGGGCGAGGGTGGGCAAAAGCATTTCTGCCAGAGTGAGAGAGAGTGTGTGTGTGCCAAGAGAAATTAGATTATTATTCACCCCGAGCAGCAGCCAGGCTCTCGAACGTCAGCACCCTGCGAAGAAGCCCTGCAAGCAGGAGACTCGAGACAGACGGAGCCTCTCTTAGAGGTGCGTTATTATTTGCATCAACTGTGTCTCAAACTTTGGCTCAAGAGTATTAAGAGGCGCATCAAAAACCTGGAAAGTGCAGGAGCGTTGAGAGAGCCCTTTCAATATCAATAAAGGAATCTGTTTTTCCAAAGTATTGATTTGAATTAAAATTGTAACCCAGAAGTTTATTATATTAAAATAAGTTTCCAAGTTAAAATCGAAGTAATAAACGATAAAAAATATTTTATTTTTACATTTCTATAATATATGACAGCACTGACTATTAAGATTAATTCTGCAATAATTTTTCTAATTAAAATAAATTTTTTTAATTCTTATCAAAGATTCTTTGACAAAGAAAAATTAGTGTGGACAAAACCAATTAAAAAATATCCACACTTCCAAAAAGTCTAGTTAGCAAACTTAAAAAAAGCTTATAATCAAGTTAAATTCAATTCTTCGTCTTATTTTATTTGTTTATCCAAAATCATCTTCAAATTTTGAATTTAAAGTGAATCCTTATTTGAACGGAAATAAACTATTTTGGGTTTTGACGCTCTCTGCGCTTGCTTTTTGAATTAGTGGCAAATTTTCATTTCAACCGATGCGTGTGCATGTAACCGACCGACCACTGCGTGCTACTTTCCGCTAATCAAGCAGCGTGTTTGCAAATAATTTTGTACTTTGCCAGAGGGATGCCGCCGCAAATGGAGTTGCGCTCCCACACACTATGAACGGAGTGATCCGCACGTATGTACACACAAGCCGAGAGATAGGCCAGGACGGTAATTTAATTTGTGCATGTACAGCACACCCGCAGCAGATTGCACATGCAATCGATTTGCACTGCACTGTTATCGAAGCAGAAATTTCAGCTTTTTTTTGCAAATTCAATTTTGTAACCAAATGACTTGCATAATTCTTCAAAAAATTATCATTTATTGTTACAAATGCTAAACCACAACAGTTTAAAATCAACTCCATATAATTTGACCATTTTTATTATACATAAAAGCACGCTTTACACCTAAAATAGAAAAGCACAATTGAAGAGTAATTTTTATGATGTGATAAGTTGACAGGTTAGACATAAAAGAGACGGACGGGAAAGTCAAAAATGCTGGTAAAAATAGATTATCAATTAAGAAAAACCATTAAATATATGTCCAGGAATATTCCAAAAGTGCTTTGATTCTACGAATTATGTTAAAAAAGATATTTCCAGGTAGTTTTGTATATTTTGAGAGGATATTAAAGATAAGATTAAAAAAAATAAACAAATTACTATAATAAAACTGGCTTAAAAGACATTCCTCTAATCTTGTTTAAGAAAAACACTATTTAATATTTTTTTTTTTATAAATAATCGTGAATTTTGTAAATTAATTTTCTTTCGATTTTTTCTTTAAAAAATCAATAAGCATACACAGAAAGAAAACTGCTCGTTGTAAGAGAAATCGTAGATCTCTTCACCCCAACACTTGTTTGCCAGCTGACCCAATTAAAAAGTTGCTGCGTGTGCTGCACACAAAATCGATCTCTCATCATACACCGGGCTGATTCAATGTCCGTGCGTAACAAACCTTCGCGCCGAGAGAGAGAAAAAAAACGGCAAGCTCGCCAAGTGCATGTAATCTGATTTGGGCTCCGAATTTGACCTGCCCTTGGTCAGAGCATTCTACACGCGCGCTCCACCGAACCGAAAAAAACCACCCTTTGTGAACACAAACGCGCGCGCTGTATAATTTTGCTCACATATTTTATCGACGCTCCATATATACATTATCCTTTCTAGTCTCAAACTCTGTTTGCGCTTCATTTTATACCAGGAAAGGTAATTTGGAAGCTCTGACTAATCAGAAGATAATTAATATTTAAGTAACATTGTTTCAATGTTTTTTTATGCACAAATAATATGAATTCCGTCTGGATTTTGGAAATGATTGAATTAATTTAAAATTAAATGACAGGTCAAGGTGGATTTACAGAAGGAAATCAAACATAAGGCAATTTTTAAAGTAAAGCAAGTTTTGTGCATCCCAACAATTAGGGCAAATTTTGATTGTTGTCGAGTGTTTGATTGAGCAAAAAAGTGCAGCGTTTTCAGTCAATCGAAAGGTTGGAACAACAATCTCTCATTTAAATGACTGGAAAATAAAAATTCAAATTTATGAATATTTTCAAGGATGTTTTTATCTAAAATGAAAATATTTTCTTCCGCAGAGCGTTCTGCGATCGATTAATTTGAGAACCCCAGCACAATTGGAATAAAATTTTCCATTCAAAGCTTCGACAGAACTGATTGATCGTTGGAAAATGAAAAGCCAGCAACAGAGACTTGTCTCTTTTATTGTGATAATAAGTTTTTAGCAGGCGGTCCATCTCGGCGCGAACCGCTCTCTCAAGTTTCCGCCTTTTAGAAACTTTTTGCACATTTCTTATTTTTTTTTACTTGCTTTGTGAAAGAGTGAACAATAATAAAATTATGTCACAGAGACCAATCAGAGCCACTATAATTTTGATGTTGGTATCAAATCTTGCGAGAACTTGGGAATATTTGAATTTTTCTTTTTTGGAAATAAAATTCAAAGTTTAATTTTAATTTAATGCTGATGTCATGCTTATTTGGTCAATTTCTGCTTTAATGTGACTCTCAAGGCTAAAAAAATACTTTTGGCCGGAAAAGGTAAAATTTTCGACACCGAATTAAATTTCGCAAATGAAATTTTCAGTCCTTTTTGCTTTTAAGATAAAAAATATCAGAACCAGAGAGGCTCTTTAAAAATAAATTCTCCTCCAACAATGTATAATTATAGAAGTTCTGTAGCGGCAAAGAGTCTGCTCTAATGTACACGTTCCCGTCCATCAGTGGCCCAGTTTTACTGGCGCGCGCGTTTCGAAACGCAGCTGAAAGAAGGCAAAAAGAAAAAGAGGCGCGAGTCAACAAACGCTCTCGCATGAAAAATTCATGTGTCGCAAATGGAGTGAAGGTCGTTTCAGAGCGAAAAGTGCGAAGAGAGAGGCTTCCAGATTGTTTACCGCTCATCTCCGGCGCGCTCTTCCGAAGCAGATCGATACACCTGGCACGCAGCAGCCAAACCAACCCTTTGTTTACACACTGATAATTATTTTTCCGCGAATTCGCTCAAGCGCTCCGCTGTTTGATACAATATATGCGTTTTGTATTGCCACTTGTTGCGCCCCGCACTTGATATATTTGTATTCCGGCCGCTGACAGACAAACACTATGTCGGGCCAACGGTCACTCGTGATTCAAAGGATTCCCCGTTCGAAAACAAATATGAGAGCAGTTCGCTTCCACACATATCGCATTCACCGCCGAGTTCAGCGGCAAATGGAAAAGTCAAAAACTAAATTGATCACGGTTTGTGCAGTTCATAAATGTTAAATTCTAAACTCTGATTCCAAAGAAAAATGATTACAAAATAAATAATATTTCTTTTCTTTTGATTTTGATTATTTAATTCCAATATTAATAAATTAGTGTAAACCACAAGCAATCTTTGATGTATTATTTAAAGGATTTTTTTCTAATTTAAAAGAACCATCTTGCAGGACAACAATTAAGGCATTAAAATAACAAAATATTTTGTTAAAAATTCAATAGAAACAAAAATTCCGTCCTCAATTTACAAATTTAAATGCAAAAAGTTAGTCTAATTTCTCAGCAGTTCTTTAAGTTCATTGCTTTTGAAACACACTTAATAGTTGAACGTTTCCATCTTCTTTAAAAAATTTAAGAATACATATAAAATTAAAACAAAACTTCATTCAATTTGTTGTGAAACTAAACATGCAAACTGAATTCAAACAAATTAAATTTTGACAAATTTGATGTAGCTTCCAAAATAATGTAAGGAAATCATCTGAATTTCAGTTTAGAATTTTGCTCTTTATTCTCCTCCTTTTTTTTAATTATTAAATTCAAACGTCAGCTTAAACTTTTAGAAAATATTTGAAAATTAAACAACTTCAACTGAAAAACTTTCAATTTATTCTCAAAAACAGA